CTATCTTTTTATTCTGTGATTATTATCAAAACATGAGATGCCAGGCAACAAAACAAGTAACTGTCAAAATGTAATAGAATAGGAAACCCCAAATATGTTTCGAAATTTCTGATCCAAAACGTCTTTATTTTGATAGGCTTTTTCCTGATACATCTAAGTTAAAGACAAATAACTCAGATATTCTATCAATAACACTCTTGTACTATGTGTTCAAGGGGTTGGATGCCCGAATGGTTAGCATGTGCAGGCTATATCATAAGGTCTGTCATTGAGTCAACTGGCGTGGTTTCGATTCCCTGGTTTTACTTGACAAGGAGTAGGGTTGCATGTCCAATCTCTTGGGTTTTCTCCCACAGCTAAAGACCCCTTCGCGCAAGCAAATTATTGAAATAAATTGAACCATGTGTTAGTCCCGAAATGACCTAGGTTGTGTTGAGTGGACGTTAAACCCCATTTCACACGATTGACGTAAATTGGGAAATAAAGATAAAAATTGTGAGCGAAAAATTTAGATAAGTTTCTTTTTTGAGCCTGAATGAACAATCTCTGTGAATCTGAGAAATATCCAACAATAACTTTTGTCAGTTGAGTGAACAGATGGACAGGATGATGACTGATTTAAAATGTAGAGTGTAAATATGGAAGACCAAACAGCTCTTTATTCAGTGTTCTTAGTTCTTAATCCATAGTCCTTATTTCTTCATATTTTGTCATATTTCGACATTTGTACAGTAAAATTAACATTTGCATCTTAAAACTAATATTTGTTTTACAAATCAGACATCTGTCATATTAGATTTGTAAATTGTATTTTAGTTTAATTTAATTGTATTTTAATATAAAGATAAAATTTATTTTTGAAAATCAAAAAATTTCATCTAAATTTTATCAGAAACATATGAACAACAAATTTCCAAATACAAATCTCCAAATACCAATCTTGCAAAACATTAGTCAAAAAAAAAATAAAAAAAATGAAGAAATAAGAATTAAAGACTATGAATTAAAAACTAAGAATTAAAAACAATGAATAAAGAGCTGTTTGGTCTTCCATATATATAAAGTGATAAATATTTAAACATTTTTTTAAAAAATATAAGTTCTTATGGTTTTGGCTGAGGTTATTTTAAAAACATTATTTCACAGTACAATAATCACACAATTTAGGATCCACGTGCACTTATCTTACTTATAACCCATTACTTATTTCTCAATTATCTCTCGGGGGACTGACAAGCACAGCTGTCTAGTTGTTCGGATGGGACAAAAAACCGAGGTCTCGTGTACACATTGGCACGTAAAAGATCCCCTGACAGTTGGAATTTGATATAAGAGTAAGCCGTAGTGTTGCTGTCTGGGAAAATTTTCCCTCATAGCACACTGTATGGCGCATGCCCGTCTTTATTAGCCCAGTTCGGAGCAGAACAGTAGGACGTTAAACCCCATTTCATTTCATTTCTCAATTATCTAAAGTCACCCTCTTACCATGCTTATATATATATACATGCATATCAAATCACTCTCTCACATAAGTGTTTGAATCTCAATTCATATGGTAGTATATAACGGTAAATACTAGTTATTTTAGATTTTCGTACCTTTTTATTTTATCAAAATCTCTGGTCATTATTTGAGAGATTTTTTATTAAATTGCCAACTACATAATATTGTATAAATATGGTTCAATTGGGGTTCAGAATTTGCAAAGATATGATGAATTAAATATTAGTCAACATTCAGCACCATCTGCAGACAATACAGACAAGAAATGGTCAAAACAAAGCAATCAAACAACTGCCTTAATGTCCGGATATCTAAAAATTGCTGTGTCACCCATCTCTAATACATGACATGACTGTACTGTGAATAATTTTGAAATGAAATTTATCCTAGGCTACTTATATGCATGATCATATCCATGAACATTTTTAAAGACATGTGACATCATAATATATATCTAACTACGCATTAGAAGGATTAATTCCATCCTAAATTAGATAGGTTGCCAGACTACAAAACATATGTCCACAACAGATAAGTCATCTGAGCAGTCTATAAAGGTTGTTGCACTGTAAATCTCAAGCATATATAACAAAATCTTTATACTGTATAATTTCACCAGCGTAATAACTTTAACAAGTAATTATCAGAAAATGTTTTGTTACTGTTATTCATCGCAATAATTAAAACAAAGAGCATAAAATTTAAAGCAAATCAGATGATGACTTTTACTGTCAAAAGCATTCACAAAACTTTACGAAACGAACAAGGGCTATAACTCAAGAAGCAATTAACTGTTGAAATTTGTCTGTCTTTCCATGTTTTTAGTTTATTTTGATTGTGGTAAAGGGCTGGTCTACCACTTTTAACTGGACATACATGTAGTGATACCATGTATTTCTTTTTAATTCACGTTTAAAAACACATTTACTTTTTATTAGTTTTTAATGACTTTAAATGTTCTCTTTAAAGTTTTAATTATTGTTTATCTTTTTTCATCTTTAAAAGTTTTAGTTTATACAGTATCTTATAAATGTGTATTGTAAACCGACATCTGTATGATGCACTATAATAATAAAGAAATATAAATGTTAAATCTTCACCTATTAAATGCTCAGTTTACCTACACGTGTATAAGACTGTTGAAAATTGATATGTGAAAGGTATTGTCTATCCTAGAGATATAATCATCTCACTGGGTATTATATAATATTTATATACCGGTATATACAATGTATATCATGCATTTGTTTGACCTATTATATAATACCAACTGTTAGTAATTTTACAGTGGACTAAATACAGTTCACTCAACCTTCACTTATTTACTTATTTATCTATAGTCTAGTCTCAATAAACCCCACTACTTACAGTAGGTATATTCAAATAAGGTTACAGTCATATTTATTAATTATGACTATCTCATGATGTAACCATTATAATTCTCACTAAATCTTGGATCATGACTTCTTCAGAACTCAAGATCCTTGACATTATGTAATAATATAAAGATTCTTAGATCCGGAAAACTTGTCATCCTGACAGAGGGACGTCATTTCAGAATATGAAACCACAGAAAACATCAGTTGCATCTGAAGGCAGGATAACTATTTAATACTTTATGTTAGAGAAGAAATGTGAAACTAATGTTCTTGACAAAAAATTCTTCTTCACCAAGATTCAAACGTGCAATGATACTAGAGCTCAATTAAGCCCCTTAAAAAATTAATCATATGTACCTACGCCCACAGCAATTAAAGAAGTAGACTTAATAAGAAAAGTAATTTTACACAGTTGGTATCTTCCATGCATTAAACTCAACTGCAATAAACACTATGTAATTTGATATGTATATGTAGATGTAGATGTATGCATTGCTGTTGACATTGATGTCAAAATTTAATTTTTTGTCAGTCAGAACCTCGATCAGATCACTGTCAGATACCAAATATGATAAAATCTTTCATAAGACAACATCTTGATAATAAATATCTACATCAATGACTGTCTTTAAGCCTCAGTGCACCAGGAGGCTAATAATGATTTTATGTATAGAACTTGAACGAAAACAAAGGCTAAAAAACAATTTTCACTTAGTAATTTAGACAATCATATAGAAATAACTAGATTAATTACCATTTTCAGTTCGATGCACATGGATGGAAACAAAGATAGCCGCATGAAATTGATAGAAAGTATTGCTAGCATAAAAAGATGGCAATAACTTACGGAATTTAGGATTGATTGATTTCAATTATTTTTGGACCAAGAAGCTTTTTGTTAAGACTACTTATGTTTAAGGAGTGAAAGTCTATTTCAGATTTATAATATCTTTTAAACGCTCTCTAAGGTCAATTATTCAAACTCTGGTTCCATAAAAGAATTTCAGATGTATAATAGAGAACACTGCATTATATCAAAATATATGAATATATTTATTCTAAAAATCTCTTTCTAACAGTCTCTTGGACAGAAGTAAAATCTTAAAATTTATGATAATATTCACTGACATTTATTGCATCAAAGCGATAGTTTAAGATTTATAATACCTTCACCTGTAGGCTACATGTTTATCTACTTTACTAGTTAATTTAAATAAATAATCCATTGATATATCAATTGCGGACCCCCCCCCCCCAAAATATATTTCACAGCTACGCCTCTAGCTGTAGCTGGCACTTGCTAGTTATTTACAAGCATTCTAATTATTTGCTGGCACATGCTAATAGTTATTTGCTGCCACACCCTACTCATTGTGGGTGCTAGTTATTATCTAGCGCACATTATAAATTAGTTATTATATGGTTATATAAGTTAGAATTATTATCTTGTGTCGAGCTTGTTATTATTTTATGAGCTTATTTTATTTTGCCTGCACTAGTTATTATCTTGACAGATACCTAGGCTTAATTATTATCTGGAGCCCTATAAATATTATAATTATTGCACATATTGTTATATATATTAGTTATTATATATATATATTGTCCTCTTATTTTTCAAAATATTATTTTCTACAGCAGTGTACCGTGTGTAACGAATGTGAAATGGTGTTTAATTGCAAGTAAGCACTGGTAAACACTATCAAATTCCATTCATCGCTTATATACATTGTTTATAACTGGGGCGCATCAGAAATTGTAAACTTTGAATACTAGCTGATATTCACGGGCATTTAGCAGAAATTGTAAACTCTTATTGACAAACAAACATATACTGGTAAAATATTGACATATATACAAATTTTATACAATGCGCCGTATGTGATGGCAGCCTTTACTTATATGTTAACCATCCATTCACAATTATTAGTATCAACAAACAAGCAAATAAAACCGTTATTCCATTACCATAACGCGATAAACTAGAGCCAAACATGCGGGGTCAGGTTTCTATTGGAATTAGATCTAGATCAAAAAGAAAATGCCTGCAAGTTTTGTATTACGTGTAATCAAGTTAAACGCTGTGAACATTGAGTGGATATTAATAGTTTTACTTACCGTGCAACTCCGTCCGACCTAGATAATGGACTGAGATTAATTAATCCTCCAGTATTCAACGTTGCTTGACAAGGACTCATCTGATTAACAACTCTACTAGGTTCGTCCGATTGGGGAAATTCGTCTGCATTCGATGTCGACAAAACTGTTATATTACATGGAATTAAGAGAATAACCGCGATAAACCACACGTTATTCATGACGAAAAGTTAATTTTGTCATTTGTACTTTCTTCATTTGTTTATGTTACGTTAACTTCCATATAAGACAAAACTAACTTTTCTGTCTAATTAAGATATTAAAAGTTGGATAACGTTCGTTTCCCTGGCCTCTTTATTGTGGTTGATAACGAGTGGATTAAATCACTATACATGTATATATATACACGTACGGCTGAACAAAACATGACTGTCATTTCATTGGCCACTGTCTGACCTATATATATCCTAAGCCCCACCCCATGTAAAACGCGTGTCTGCGATATCAATTCAATATGGAAGCAGACGTTAATTAAATTTATTTTATACGTGTAGGCAAAAAATGAAATGAAATGAGGTTCTGCTATGAATTGGGCTAATGAAGACGTGCTATGAGGGAAATGTTGCCCGGACAGCTGCACTACAACCTATTCTTATATCGAATTCCAACTGTCAAATAAGGGATCTTTTACGTGCACGGCAATGTGTACACGCGATCTTGATTTTTCGTCCCATCCGAACGACTAGACAGCTGTCCTTGTCAGGCCCTCCGTCCTGCATCACTTATAAGGGGGGAACCACGCCGGAAAATCTCTGCCAATGCATGAGGGATCGAACACTCGATCTCCAGACTAGCTAGCCGGCATCTTACCCACTTAGCCACCGTGACCCCCTTCATACGCGTATGCAGTCAAGAATGAATAAAAATATGACAATTTATGGTCTAATTTTAGAAAGTATTATGGTGTGATGATCCAATTCCTATCCCATATGATGTTCCCCTTAAAATGTAACAGCGTTGCCAGTGACGGATTATGATCGAGGTCGCCGGGCCCCAGTGACAAGATGACACCCTGACGGGCGGGGGGGGGGGTCTGTCCCCCCGAGAAATTTTGACCTGAAATAGTGGTCTGTGGAGCATATCCGATGCCCCTTGGGTTTTCCCTACCTAATAATTTCAAAACTCTTCGAAAATAATTTTAAGCCATTTTGTTTCACAATTTTGGGTGGGTCTCCATTTTTTTCTACAAAATATAAAGGAAATTAGCCACTTTGTTTCACGATTTTGGGTGGGTCTTCATTATTGTTTTCTACAAAATATAAAGAAAATATTTTTCTTATGTCACCAAATCGACGGGAACGAGGTCCGGATCCTAGGCAATTGTCTTTGTTGCCCTCGCCATGATCCGTCACTGAGCGCTGCCAAGGCAGAAAAAAATGCAAAACACTGTATGAACATGTAAGCATGGTTAGCTGTAGCTACGAGAACGATATAGCTAAAAACGTTGAGATATACGATATGCACGGAGGATTGAGAGATGAGGTTTCTTATCTAGTTTAGCTGATGTGAACTTAGAAAATCAGAAGTGGTATTAGATGGTCACAACTGTATATCCATTTGTTGAGAGTTAATGTGAAATAATCTTTATACATGGTAAAACTAACTGACCAACTTTTAACATTATATACGTATATTCACGGGAAACCAAAGTCAGATGAACACGTTGCTGTGCACTCAAAAGAACCCGTGGCAATTGGAATTCGGTGAAGAATAGGCGGAAACAGGACAAAGAGTCCGACAAGGAACATAGTTCAGTCGTTCGGGTGGGACGAAAAGTAAGGTCCCTTGTACTGGTTGGCAAACACGTAAAATAGCCCTTGACAGTTGGAATTTGAAATACCGGTAAGAGTAGGCTGTGGCGCTGCAGTCCGGGTTAAAATTCCCTTATGGTACTTTACTGCATGGCAAGCCCCATTCATTCATTCATTCATTTATTCTATTCTTAATTTCATTTCGGCCTAAATTATGTTTATTTACGTTGAGAAATATTTATATGCTGCTTAGATGAGGTTCATGTAAAGTTGACAATATGTTCGCGATACAGTTATTTCAAATAAAATAATTTTAAAGATGAATGATAAACACAAGACACGTCATGAAATATAACACCAATATTGAAAAACTGTAAAATTAAATGAGTTCTTATAAATTGATAGGTTATTGCGTAAATTAAATGGAAGTCTTTCCTGTTACATCACAATCTGTTTCACAGAGGTAATGCTATGAGGGAAAGTTTTCCCGGACAGCGGCGCTGCGGTCTCCTCTTATATCTAATTCCAACTTGTTTTTTCGTCCCATCCGAACGACTACTATACGATACGTTATCCCTTGCTAGGCCCTCTGTCCTGCACCAATGACAAGGAGGAACCACCTCATAAAATCCATACCGTGTACACAGTGCTGGATTAACCATAAGGCAAATAAGGCACGTGCCTTAGGGCCAGCCAAAAATCCAGGCCACAAAATAATAAAGTAAAACTTTTTTGATAATTATCAGGTGGTGACAAAAATGCTTGCCTTTATTTTTAGGTAAATAAATTGCATCCTTCTTCATCTACGCGTTTGTCGTAATCTAGCTAGGCAGTGAATGGGAATATGTAGGCTACTTATAGTAAATACAGTACTGTCAATGTTCTGAATTTGTTTGTAATAAATATTCTGTTGCTAAATTTAACTTAATTCCTTTTGTCAATGAGCCCAACATATCTGTATTTTCAGGCCACCTATCAAAATGTGCCTTAGAGCCAGCAGAGCCCTAATCCGGCACTGCGTGTACACTAAAAGACCCGTTGCCGTCTGATACAAGTTTTACATTACAGGGCGTTAATAAAAGGTTACCACAACATGGTGCCATACCAGAGACTTAAATGTTAAAAAAAGAATCTTGACATTAATACGAAAACTTACAAGTTACCAGATTATAACTGGAAAAAATGTGTTCATATTATATGGACTATAACTATCACCAATTCCACGCCGATATCCATCTGCATTATCCCGCGTCGGTTGGTTCAGAAATGCAGAAACTTACACCATTTTATTTCTTTTCCTTTTATAATTATGTAAATGGTTATTAAAGTATTTAATTCAGATAGCGCTAGAATTTGACAATTAGACACATGTTAAAAATCTCATAAAAACGGAAATTTTGAATTGAAATAATTTTCATGTAAATCATTATACGTTACTTTGCATTTCAAATACCAATCAACAGAACACCATGGGAAACTTTGGAAACGTTTAGCCCACAAACTTTTGTTACACTTTTATAGGCGTATGTATATGCAAATAACATTTATTTTGTTTTATTTGATTTGGTTTAATTATTATGTCTAATTTTTGTATGAAATTAAATTATTTTTATATTTGGAAATCTTTTTTAAAAATACTTTCCTTTCGGATTGATAGTGTTTCCGAGAATGTCATTAAATTGTGAATGAAATAATGAACATGGTTTGGGAATATGCTCTGGTAGTGCAATGTCCTTTGTCAGTTTGGCGCGGATTTACAAAAAAAAAAAAGAAAATCTTTTTTTTTAAGAGGTGGTGAGGTTGAGCCAGGGACTTGACATAGCAAAATATATAGATAAAATGTAGCCTACCCTCAGCGTTATTTATTTTCCTATAAAAATACACTTTGCAGGGGTGGATCCAGGTATTTCAGAAGGGGGGCCCTCGGGAGTGCGAAGCCCGGCCATCGCTGGGCGGGCTGACGGACAATCAACAAAGTCACCAACCGGCTCGTTTCGGTGTATATTACGATTTCCAACCTAAACTGACTGTTAATTCGTTTAGCAACATACCTACCGCGAGAATATATGGGGCAAATAATTGTTTGCAACCGCAAAAAAATAGGGGGGAGGGGGCGTGCGTTGGGTGTAAAATGTACTATTAGGCTAACTATAGCCTACATAGAACAATCGACGTCGGTGGCCATTTTACTTAATTTACTACTTTTGCTTTGTTGTTTTCTAGACTACTTTCATTTCCACTTCCTACAATAACAAGTCTTGGTTAACCAGACAATATAAGACTTTTGGAATTATGTATCATTCTGCTGTAGTTACTCATGCACCCTTGGGGCGGATTACTTAACCTAGCGGCGAATAAACATTCACTTTCTTCTTTCTTAAACGTACGGCCACGATTTTCTTTTAATTGCATCATTGTCGTAAAATTCCATTCATGAACGATTGCAGGAGTCAGCAGACGACGAAAATAGAAACAAACACGTGCCGAAACATGGCTGCCAAGGACATCAGTAAGATCGTTTTAGCGGGTTCTGCTGTCTGTGGTATTCTAGTACTTTTCTACATTTACAAAAGAAGATCGAAGAGTCAGGGTAATGAAGCCACTTAAATTGTATGCTGGTACCATATTTTATTTTCAGGAAATGTTTCCGGTTTGGACTTGGTTAATCTGTACAGACACTTCCTTGTTTCAATTTTACAACCAATTCAAATTGCGTGGCTTAAATTGATTACAAATACATTAATTCATTAATTACTACTAGCCTCTACCTTTGGTTATTACAATAGCAATATTATTATAGGTTTCACTGTCCTAATGGTGGAAATTAGTTTTTGACAACTATGGAACTGGTTAGTCAAGCGGACTAGTTCGGTGACAAACTATAGGAAGCCAATTAACAATTTGGATTAGGCAGTGGCTATTGTTACCAGGAGTCGTAAAAATAGTTCTCAGACTATAGTTACCATGATGCTTTCAGAGCCCTCCATAGTCAGGCCTGGATCCAGGATTTTGTCGAGGGGGGGAGGGGATACTTTGGAGCAATGGGTAATCATCAGAGTGCCACATTATTAGTGGTTTGCATTAGTGGCGTCATGGACCTTATAAGGTCCATGGTGGCGTGGGCTGAGACGCCGGTGGGGGGGGGGCACGCTGGATCCGGGCCTGTAGTGAAGTTGAAATCCATTGATTCAGAGGAGTAATAGAAATCGATGGCCATAACAATAGCCACAGGACTATTTTTACAACTATTCAGTTTTTAACTTTGCCGATGGAGGGCTCTGGAAGCATCGTCGTAATACAATAGCCTGAGGACTATTTTTACAACTCGTCATAACAATAGCCACTGCCTAAGAATTAACAGGATTACAGGAATCATTATTTATTGTCTGAACTTTGTGGATTTGTTTATAAAACAAAAACATGTTCACATTTTACATTTGTAAATAGAGCGTGACTGTGTGTGGATGTATTTAGCTTTGAAATGCAACTTAAAGTTTCAGATTAGTCCAAAATGGTTCAATTTCATTAAGATTCACAAAGATATGATGAATTGAAAATTTGTCAATATTTGTTATCTTCTGCCTTGGATAGTCAAAACAGGCCAACGATACATATAATCTACTCCAAAATCTTTTGCTGGGCCTCTTTTTAATTTATTGATAATAATCAATATAGTCAGAAAGAAAAACCATTAAAATGAAATACTTTGTAAAACAAGACATCGGTAATAAAATTAAAAAAAAGAAATAAAATAAGAGGGTAAGCCTACAGGTAGGCTACAAAGACAGGAAAGTTGATTTACAGATATGTAACTAAGACACAAAATATTGAAATCAATGTGAAAAGAAACAGGGAGCCAGTGAAGTTGTAAAGGACAGGTGATCGGTGAATAATAAGGTCACAATTTTTATCTGCTTTTGATTAAACTTAAAATATATGTTTATATCCCAAAGATATGGATTCCTTTTGATACTTGCACGTATCAGGCCGTAACTTCAAGGATTATGGCCCCTATTTTTTAGCTTGTTCCCTGATCTCTTGCAAAATGTGGTAGTGACGTGCAAACAGTTCAAAGAAACATTTCATTTACTGTAGTTTCAATCTGTTTAAAAAATAATGCAGCACTTGGACAGTGGACAGCCCAAAACTACTACTCCCTCAAGCGCTATGGTTGTGAGAAGAGCTATGAACTATTTTAGGAAAATATACTTGTTCTGTGACTCATTTTCAGGCAGTCTAGGAAGTAGTAATGAGCTACGAAACTCAATGTAAAAAGCTCCAGTTTCTCTAATTCTTTTATCTTATAAGGAACTAATTTTATTTTAACATTTCTTTTCAGAAAAGGATGTGAGCTCTACCACAAAACCTTCACTGGAAGGAAAATCAACTGTTAAATCAGATGTAGATGTGAAGAAACCCGACATTAAACTGGACGTACCGAAGACATCACCAACACCAAAACCAGAGTCAAAGATACCCCAGAAAATACCAACTAAAGTTCAGCAAACAAAGCCTACAGAAACCAAGCAACCAACTTCCGAATCAAAGCTACCGACCGCTTCGTCTCCAACCAAGGATGTCAGAGCTGGGGGAGAGCCTGCATCTAAGGATGCAACGGTGATCAAAGATCAAACAGCTGTAAATCAGTCTTCTCCAGTTCCGCAGTCTGAAGCATCAAATAATCGTACAGAGCCACAAGAGATTAAAGAAGAACAAGTTGTAACTAATGAAGCACCTCCAGTTCCGAAGTCTGAAGCATCAAATAATCGTACAGAGCCACAAGAGATTAAAGAAGAACAAGTTGTAACTAATGAAGCACCTCCACAATCTTCTCAGAATATTCCAGTTGTTGAATCCAAGCGACCAGAAGAGGAAAAACCGGAACCTGTTAAATCCAATGAAGCATCTCAAGCTCCTGCTGCAGATCTGGAACAGGATACCATCAAAAGTCAAGCTAGTATCGTGTTGACACCAAAGCCAGCTGAAGATGCAGCGCCAATTCAGAATGGAACAGAATCAAGTCAGTCAACACGTTCATCCAGCACTGTGTTAGATGTTGAGAAAATCACGAAAGCCATCCAACAAGCAAAGAACACTCCTAATAATATTGATAAAGAAACTGTAGAAACCTTAGTTTCTTTGTTGAAACAGAAAGACATTGAACTTCTTCAAGCTGCTTTAGATTCTATTGTTAGACTGGGAGCCTTCTCACAGAATCAGGTAATCTAAAACTTGGTTTTATATTTTTAGTAAAAATGAAATGGGATTTGATCATTTCTATTAACACATACTGTTTTGCACTAACCAGGCTAATGAAGACAGGCATATGCCAAGCAGTATGTTAGGAAAAAATGAAATGAAATGGGGTATAACGTCCTACTGTTCTGCTCCTATGCTGGGCTAATGAAGACGGGCATACGCCATACAGTGTGCTGTGAGGGAAATTTTGCCCGGGCAGCGGCACTATCGCCTACTCTTATATCGAATTCCAACTGCCAAGGGATCTTTTACATGCATCCCAATGTATACACGGGACCTCGTAATTTTGTCTCATCCGAAGGACTAGACAGCTGTCCTTGTCAGGCCCTCTGTCCTGCATCACTGACAAGGGGGAACCGCGCCGGAAAATCTGGATGAACTGTTAGGAAAATACAAATTCCTGAACAGCAGTACATTTCTGCCTACTCTTCATCGAATTCCAATTGCCAAGGCTTATTTCACATGTACATCAACATATAGATAGGCCTTAGTTTTCCATCCCCTCAGAACAAATAGATACATTTCCCTTGCTAGGCACTCCTTGCATCACTGACATGCGGAACCCAGACTGGAAAATCCAGAGAAACTTTTTTGGCCAACAGGATCAAACCAGGGACTATCTGGTTAGAGATCAAGTGCCATGCTCTGAGCCATAGTGGCTCCCATTAATGCAATTCAATTGCTCAACAAAATATAACAGCACCTGAGCACATTCAAAAGTAAATCAAGTTGTTAGTCACATGATTAGCCTTATACAACATTCAAAAAGGCAATGGTTAATGAGTCGATGATGCTTTTAACAACTGCTTTATGATTTTGTATTACCAGTTACTTTCCAGTGTTAATTTAGTGAATTATGATTTTTTTGTAGATTTTGTTAAGAGAAAGTGGCTGTATTCAAGAACTAACTTTATTATTACAAGTACATGCAACTACTGCTAGACTTGGTGTACAGACTTCCCAGAATTTACTAGGACCTATTAATAATGTTATAATTAATATGTGTATGGATATACAGAACCAGGCTAGATTGGAGGTGAGCTATTAATAAGGTTATAATTAATCTGTGTATTACGATATACAGAACCAGGCTAGATTGGGGGTGAGATATTAATAATGTTATAATTAATCTGTGTATTACGATATACAGAACCAGGCTAGATTGGGGGTGAGCTATTAATAATGTTATAATTAATCTGTGTATCGATATACAGAACCAGGCTAGATTGGAGGTGAGCTTATGTTTTGGAATTTTAGTTTTGACGAGATCCTGGTCCGACTCCATAGCATGCCTCTCATGTGAGACATATCTGCCAGTCCTGCCTGACTGCTAGTGAAATTGACTGGCAGAAGAACTTGCATGCCATAAAATTAGAATACCAAAGAATTTACAAAATATTAAAAATAGAAAAGGGGTTTAACTCCCTACCAAGCTAATGAATAAAGTGTACTAGGAGGTCCATTTTGCCCAGACGGTGGCATTTCAGCCTACTCTTTATTGAATACCAACTACCAGTACACAGGTGGACTATTGTTTTTTGTAACATTTAATTGACAGCACTACTGACACCAGACTTGAAAATCCTGAAGAATTTCCTCGTCCTACACCAAGATCAAAACTGGGATCTCCTGGTTAGCGAGCCAACACCATTCCAAATGATCCCCTGTCACTCTAATAAAACATATCATGATGTGGGTTTTAAAGAATGAGATTACTATATGTAATACAATTTTGTATTTGTATACATTTATGTTTTTCAAGTGAAATGGATGTGATTACGTTTTTTCAGGTGTGTATTCCGGTGTTAATAGATCTCATTACTTATGAAAAAAGTCCGGATGATGTCCAACTGATGTCCTTGAAGTCGCTGACTAATTTATCTACGACACCATCTTATCATGAACAATATATACCAGCTTTACCCCGATTATTCCAAATGATGGATGGGAATAATACCAGTATTCGTCTACAAGCTGTTAAAGTATTAGTCAATCTCTCTTGTAATCCCGAAGTTTTACCAGATCTCTTAGAATCCAAGGTTTGTAGATTAATGATCACATATTGTTTATTGATCGAGGGAAGTTTACTCGTACCTGAGACAAAAATGTCTCTGTTAAGAATTTAAAATAGAACTCAGTTCACAATTTTCAGTGGGTCCCCCGAGCGAGGATAGTGTGTCCAGGTCCAACGTTAGTACACCATCTATCTGTTGCCTGTCATTATAAGGCACGTATGTGAACGGTGCCAGCAAAATCTGTCAATTGGGTCACTTCACCAAAATGAGTTCTATACATTTCCTTAAAGCCACAACTGTAGGCTTTAAAATGTAACAAAAATTTGATCTCTCAAAAATTTGATAAATTAAAATAAATAATTGCACCACTGACTGCTGCATATAATTTATAGCGCAAAACGAATGAATGAGACTTCCGACTCATTTTGCTGGCACCAGTCACATATTTGTCAGTATTTTAATACATGCACAGCACAAATTTCAAAATGTCAGATACTAACTTAAACCCTGTTGTCTCAAAAAGATGAAAAATTCTGAACATTCTTCAAATGTTTAATTTTTATTATTTTTTCCAGACTCCTTCATCTTTATTCAAATATTTGGAGGCACAAACAGATTCTATTTTGTTATTACGTGTCATCACACTGTTAGTAAATATGGTGTCCGGTGTTAAAGAGGGGAAAATCACTGAAACCCGTCTGCCATCGGAAAATAATCCAGCTAATCCACAGTCTTTATATACCGCCTTATTCGATTCTTCTAATGCTGAAGAAATCAAAAGAAGAGTTCAAGGACTTTGTCGACATCAGACAGAAAATGTTAGCAAACAGGCCATTCGGTTGTTTGAATTGATCAAATAGATTTAATTAGTGTATATATATATATATATATATATATTATCTATTTAATTTGTTTGTGCTACTTTTATTTTAAATAGTATAATTTAAAAAGAGGTTGCGTAAATACAAAAATTTGCATACAAGACTCATTCATTTTGATGCCAAAAAGATGTGGTTTATGTTCGCCTGCCGCAAAAAAATGATTTGATGTCTTCGACAAATTTTGGTGATATCGTCGGTTTATTGAAAGTCCCCGCTTAAGTAAACATATTTAGTAATATAATATTGTATGCCGCCCCGATCAGGATTGTTTTTTTTCAATCATACTGACATTTTCGACCATAAATTAGTCAAGATGATACTTGTGGGTAAGGGTTTGTGTTGTTCTGGAGCTTATCAGCTTATTGGTGGCTCGCTCGAGTGGCACTGGATTTGATGGTTTGCCAAGAGCAGCGTCAGATTTTTGGTTGGCCTTGTATCTGTCTTTTTAGCTCCACCTAATTCACTAATAACATCAACCTATCTTTTATATATATATATATAATTTACAATAATATAGGAAAAAATCTTTTGTATTTACAACTTTAAACGTCCACTGCAACAGGCTAATATAAGTGTTGATGGACATATTTTTTGGCTTGTGTTTTCACAATGCAAAGTTATTAAACCTAGCGCAACCTCTGATTTCAAGGTATTACCCACACTAGCATGGTAGTTAATGTGTAGTTGATGTATGCATAATATAAGATAACATTCCTTCAGGTTATTTTGTTTACGCTTTAAATACAAATATTGTCTTGTATCTTTGCATAATTTAAATAGGTAGCTATCCTTGCAATTTACAATGTCAGTTGTGTGTTACAGTAGTGTATGTTACAGTGAGCCAAAGGTGGGGGATTTCTTGTTGAGGGTTGGGATGGACCGGACCTACATTGAATAAAAAGATGTTTTTCGGTTGAGGTAGTAGATGATATTGTTTTATTTTATGCGAAAACATGTTTGATGTGTATTGGGTTGTGTTTTTGTTGGATGGGGGGTATGTGCAAACTCAACTCAAGGACCACTCCATTCGATATAAACTCTAGTTACGACACTGATAGAAGTGGTATTTGACCAGTTCAATTAGATAAACATTAGTTAAGTTGAGATCAAAGTTTCTAGTCAAGATGTAGTTATCTTTTATAGGATTTAGTTTATTCTTTTTAAAGTCTTATTCATAATATGCCTTAGCTAATAAAGCAATTAATCAAAGTTAGAATTTATAGTGTGGGAATGTCAGGTGTGTATTGTGTGTGTTTGGAGTGTGTTGAACTATACTATTCAAAAAAAGTAGGGGATATTTGATTTTTAAGTGTTATTAAAGTCACCTAATGAAACTGACGAAGAAACAAATGACAAAATGAAATGAAGTTCACATTCATCGATTTATTCCAAATGATCGTTAGACTAAGTAAGGCACAGACTGACCATTATAAGGGTAAAATGATACCCGGGGTCAAACAGCAAAGTTACCACAGCATCACAACCAAGTCAGTAACGGGTAAATCCTCCTCTGTTTGCCAAACAAGCATTGATCCGACGTGGCATACTCCTAATGAGACGTCTAAGGTCATTTTGGTCCAGATTGTCCCATTCCTGTTGCAACGCAGCAGCAAGTTCTTGGACATTGGCAGGACGTTGTTGACGTTGACGTAACCTCTGTCCAAGCATGTCCCAGACATGCTCGATGGGGGAGAGGTCGGGACTCAGTGCTGGCCAAGGTAATGTGGTGATGTTCTGTTGTTGGAGGTAACCTGTACCGATCCTGGCCCTGTGACATCTTGCGTTGTCATCCTGGAAGATGAAACGGCGGCCATGACGTCGTGCGAACGGCACAACATGGACTGCCAAGATGTTGTCCCGGTAGTACTGGCCTGTAACACGCCCTGCAACAACATGTAAAGCCGTTCTTCCAGCAACAGTGATGCCTCCCCACACCATAACAGAACCACCCCCAAATCGATCATGTCTGATGACGTTAACGTCTTGGAAGCGCTCGTTTCGACGACGCCACACCCTCCTACGTCTGTCCAAAAAATCAACAGTGAACCTTGACTCATCTGAAAACATCACATTGCTCCAGCGTCGATTATCCCAGTGTTGACGATCCCTACACCAACGACGTCTTGCCTGAATGTGATGATCTCTCAAACAAGGGATCACGCGAGGACGTCGGGCGCGAAGGTGACCCCTATGCAGTCGATTCCGAATCGTCTGGCCACTCACTCTCACACCAGTGTCTGTTTGAAGACGAGCGCTGATCTGATTTGCTGTGATGACACGATTTCTCAAGGCCAAGGTACGGATAAATCGATCCTGGGCTTGAGTTGTCGCCCTTGGTCGACCTGAGCGTGGTCTGTCCTGTACAGATTGTGTATCACGGTATCTGGACCATAGCCTGCTTATGACAGACTGAGAAACATTCATCGTCCGCGCCACAACCGCCTGTGTTGTGCCGATCTGTAGCATGCCAAGGGCACGTAACCTTTCATTTTGGATAAGCCGATGCATATCAAAATTTGTTTTCTGGTCACTAAAACAATTAAACTGATGTTTCCACCCTGGAATTCAATGCCACAATGACTGTAACATTCAAAGTCAGAGTCGTGCAAATCTTGGGTTGGACCCCCATGATGATCCCAAGCATCACCTGCATTCCATGCGGTAGCTATTGGTGCGTTTGGGCGTCACATGTAACTGGAAATGTTTCTTCTGTTAGGTTCTATAGTGACTTTTTTCGTAGTCATTTGCATATTTTAGTATTATGCCCCCAAAATCAAATATCCCCTACTTTTTTTGAATAGTATATATTTATCATGTATTAATATATTTTTAAGACAAAGTAATATTTTTATTGTTGATGGAATATTGTGTGTTGTTAGTATGTAAATATTGAACAGTATAAATTATATAGAATATATTCTTGTAGAAAAGATTGATAAATTTTGAAACTGTTCTTCCATCTTTCAATATGTTAATAAACTTTTATTCAGAAGGACAGCGTGTTTGCATAGTACATGTACATGTATGCAGTGTGGAATACTCAAATCGAAGACTAATGGTCTGTTGACTAGACTGTCCCTGATTTGAACCTTCGGGATACTCTTGCCATGGTGGCATGGGTGGAAGGGGTATCTTATTTGTTCAAGATACTCCAAATGAAAATCATTCTTTAATAGAGCAAGGGCTGTGGTAATCAAGTGATCAGTACACAGGGACTCTTGACCAGGACAAGAGTGTCCCTGGTTTGGATCTTGACATGGATGATCTAGAAGAAATTTCATGGTTCCCTTGTCAGAGGTGGTGTTGGTGGAACAGTATAACCCCCTGCAAAAAGTTTAGTTGTTGATGAATACTTCTTCAAAATAATTTGTAATTTCCTTTTTGATCTTTTGTGTCATTATATAAGTTGGATGGTGAAACAGGAAAGTTCCAGTTTGGAGACTAAAGGGAGACAACTCTGATCCATTTGCTAAATCAACAACTGCACATAAAGAACACATTGTGGCTACTAAATGTCCAAAACATAGGCAATGCAAGAAAACTAAACAAAATGATTTGTACTTAGGTTCTGGATTATGAAAGCTATTTTGATTAGATAATAATATATAACCAATCTGTAACAACACAATTTTTTAAGAATTAACTGGTTTTATTTCAAAGTACAAGAACAGCAGGCACTTAACAACAGACTTAGAGACAAGACTTTTGTGTTGAATAATTTTTTAAAACACTAAATTTAATAACTGTACATAAATTTTATAGAAACAGACATTTTATTGGACAAATTTTTAACAATAAATACTGTTTTAATACCATAGATCATTTTTGGAAAGTAAATTTAAATAATTTACCAGTTGATCTACAGAAATATAATAGCTGAACACCTCTATATAAAAAATCAATAAATATATAATAAACAAATCTGAACAAGAAACTAGAAAATTATGTCTTGTTCTTCTTGATACTAGACACATTTATCGACAATCTAAATCCATTTTAATTTCAATAATGATTTGATAGGTTTATTAAATGCTCTGAATATATTTTAACATCTATTGAAAATCTTAAAAAATACAAACAATATTAATTTGTGATGTTCGTGCTACCTGTGCCTATAAGAATGTTTATGTTTCCTGACACTGTCTTGTAAAACGGTAATCAAATTGCACCAAAAGACAATTTGATGTTGAAGCTTAACATTTAAACTCAGTAAACATCCAGTTAATGCAAAATCATTAAATGCTTTATAAAGTCTTTTTTCAGGTCAGTTTGGTGTTTTAATTTGGCCTTTTGGAATTTCCAACCTTCCAATTGGTTTGAAAAGACCATCCATTTCTGTCATTTCCAGCACATGATATGTAAGTGTGGTACAATACCTAATTATTGAGCAAATATATACACTTAATTTACATAATAAATACATGTACTTAGTTCATCAATGAAATTATTTCTGGTATCAACAAAAGATATAGTGCACACAGACTGCACCTATATTACACATTTTGATCAATCTATATTGCTATATTGTAGTGCACCAGGGCCTCACTACACTAGAATAAAAACTTCTGATCAAGTGCACTAAGGCCTCCCTACACTAAAACAACAACTTATGATAAATCTATATACTGGTATAACCTCGGTGAGGTGTCAAAAGGGTGTATCTCCGGAAATTAGTCAAATGCACTTTTTTGCATTTTTAAACTCTCCCAATAATATGCACATTTCTGTTTAAGCTGTGTATCTCTACGCCAATTAGAACTGTTCTGGGTATCATGTGACCAAATGTTGTATCTTGATTTGTAGAAATTTTGAAATGCAAAAGGTTCTATTTCTTAATCTTTAGAAATACTTAGATACACCCTTTTGACACTTCACCGACGATACTGCACTAGGACCTCACTACACCTGAATAACAACTTATGATCAATATGTGATCATGATATAAACTACATAATAATGAGAAAATATTTTTATTCATAATTTCAACTAGAACAATGCAGAAATAACAAATGACTGAAACCAGGGGTGGCCAAACAACCCAAACATTTAACTTCCATGTTCCAATTATGAATCTGATCTGTATAAATTCATATTTATCATACAACTTCAAAAGATATCAAGACAAAATGTTAGAAACACAGGATCATTATTGATTGTGTTAGCTCCTATTTAATCTGTTAACATCTGTGACCGAGACATCTGGGAAATAATATCAGATGATTATTTTTAATAGGTACAATGTGTCATTAGTTGGCCATCCCTGATTTAATCCAGTCTCATAACACAGTTTAAATTAATAGCAAACTTCAGCCAATGTCTTGGCTTTGTTTTAGCATCTTTTTTTCAAAATGTTTTTCCAACCTGCCCAGTATGATTACCAACCTGCCCGTTATGTTTACTAACCTGCCCAGTATGTCTACCAACCTGCCCTGTATGATTACCAACCTGCCCTGTATGATTACCAATCTGCCCTATATGTTGACCAACCTGCTACGAATATCACTTTTAGATTTATGCCTGGCCTACCCACATTAATGGTTTTTAGCCAGTGAAAAAGACTGTTCAGTGCCATCTTGGCAATATCAACATTTCAGATCTTTCATCTGATAATTTTTCAGTCTCCTCATTAGATCTTTAAAGATCGAAATGTGCTTTATTTCAAAACATTTCTAAATTATTCCTTTTGCTATTCCTTATCTGAGATAATATTCCAAGAGTGTTTTATATATATCAACAGTTATAACCTATGATATATTGAAATGACAGTACAATTTCTAAATTATTCCCTCTGCTTTTCCTCAAATCAGAAAATTGTTTTAATTTAGTTTTAAAGTCTTTTAATATCGTCCTTTATAGCCTTTAATAAAAGGAAGGCCAGTGCCGGTACGATTTTGATAATCTACATAATGTTCGCCGAAAAAATTGAGCAGTGAGATTTCTTCCTCGTGAATTCTCTGTCTAAAAAATCTCCAGGATGCCAAGGTATAGCCAACCAAACAGATCGGGTTACACAAAATAATCTGAAATAAAAATAATAACATTGATTGGGTCACAATTAAATGAAACATAGGTTATGTGATCATAACTTGACAAGACTTGAGAGTGAAGCTGCCATGGCAAAATAACCCCTCACGACACGAGCCATATGTCTGTCTTCATTAGTCTAGAAAAGTAGGATGTTTAACCCCATTTCATTTCAATCAAGATTGAAAACTACTTTGCAAATTTCTTTGCTACTGGTAATTAAAATTGTAATGAGTCAGAATGTCCATCATGATTTTACTTATTTAAAATGACTACACCTCTCTATGATTTAGAAAAGAGAGAAAAAAATGGGGTTTAACCTCCCTCAACGAAAACTAATTCAATGGCATACAGCAGTACGAGGAAACAGGAGGTCCTAAAGAAAACCCACAAACTTAAGTAGATGACCCTACTCCTTGTTATGTACAAGCGTATGATTGAAACTACAAACATGTGACGCAAAGACTGACAGACATTCATTATGTTACAAAGCATGGATCTGTTTAAAGATACAAGATATAAATAATTTTGTATTCCATAGTTTATAGCCCAATGCAAATATGTCAGAATAGAGTTAATCAAAGAGTTAAAACCATATACACAAAGTACTTTCTTAAAAAACATTTTGGTCTAAAATGTATTAAAGATGGGTTCCCGCGTACAAACAGGGTGATTTAATGGCATATATGGACTAAAAACATATTCAAACTAATTAATTTGTCATAACTTTGCTTCAAATCCTTCTCAAACATTGTAATTGCAAAGGAATGTCCTGCTATAAAAATTCGATCAAACCAGGTCATGTTTACGTCACGTGGCTTACCTCTCTTGGAAGTCAGAGGAGAATTCATTGCATACATAAGACGATGTTGTCTTTAATCGCTTACTATTTATTACAAATATTTAATCCTAATTAAATTCTCAGATTATCCACTACCCGCGTCTTTTTCTGTCATTTGTATCTCAGAAAGTATTGTACATCTAACTCTTCATAAAGTTTATCAACTTGGACATCAAGCGCTCAATGTTCGCGTGTGACCTTTGACATCATGCGTGCAGAAATTCCTAATCATTGGGCTCTTGATTAGGGGAACCCTTACATTTTTGTACTGTATACGCTGCAGGAGTGTTTTTCGGGTAATCCAGTATTTTTCTAGTAAGATTGGATATCTCTACATTTTCCATATATACCAAAATTATCATACTTTTATTGGAAATAACTACCCGATAAATACTTTTCTGGGAACCCATCATTAAAATCAATCAATTATAACTGGTCAGTTTAAAGTTTACACTGGTTTCTATGGATTTCAAACAGCCTTAGGTAAAATGTGGGCACATATATATAAAGACATTTATGTCTATTTAAATTTCCTAAATAAATAGTTATAGAATGACTTACTTGAGTTCCTAAACTCCAATAAAACCAGCCAACATATGAAGGATGTCTGAAATATCTATATACACCATGAGTAACTAGTTGATGATCATGTTGTTTTATATGTTGTACATAATGATTAAAATTACTTCTAGCTGTTATCATACTGGCTTTACGTAATACCTCTCCTCCTATCACCATTAATAAACCCACTAAACTTATCAAACGGTACTGTTTTAAACCTATAAAGATAACACAAATATTAAAGTCTTTATCATACTGGCTATATGTAAACCCTCACCATAAATAAACCTAATAAACTTATCAAACGGTACTGTTTTAAACCTATAAAGATAACACAATATTAAAGTCTTTATCATACTGGCTATATGTAAACCCTCACCATAAATAAACCCAGTAAACTTATCATACGGTACTGTTTCAACCCTTTAAAAATAATACAAATAGAAAGGGGTTTAGGGCCTTTATCATACTGGCTTTACATAAAACCTCCTATCACCATTAATAAACCCAGTAAACTTATCAAACGGTACCGTTTTAAACCTAAATAAATAATACAAATAGAATGAGGTTTAAAGTCTTTATCATAAAGGCTTTATGTAAACCCTTACCATAAATAAACCCACTAAGCTTATCATACGGTACTGTTTTAATCGTAATAGAAAGGGGTTTAGGGCCTTTATCATACTGACTTAACGTAAACCCTCTATCACCATTAATAAACCTACTAAACTTATCAAACAGTACTGTTTTAAACCTAAAAAAATAAAACAATTAGAATGGGGTTTAAAGTCTTGTGAAAAGAAACAATATTCCAGTCATTTGAAAAATATTGTTAAATTTCATTTCTATGGTTACACACATTTCCATCTACTTTTCATCAAACCCAGTCCCTAAATATAGGGAAAAACAGCCAATACTACCCATCCATTCGATTTACTGTTCCATCCAAATGACTAGGTCACATTGTAACTCTTGGACGACGGCTTGAAAAATCCTCTGGTTCTACTCAGCCCTACATTTTCCTGGAAAGTGCCTCGTACAGCAGACAGCGAGTTTCAAATTTTCCGGGAAAATACTATTATTGCCGGCGTCAAATAGGCTGATTTGAGTCAAAATGATAGAGTAAAGTATTTTGGGGCTCTGTGCATGGAATAGCTAACCAAGTTTTAGACCATCGGCACGAAACTGACAGTGAAATTCTGAACATACTGCTGATCCGACTTAGACGAAGGAAAAAAGCCGATATTAGATCAAATGGACCGAACATTTTGATCCGAGTTGAGCAAAAGATCCAACTTAGGAAATCCAACTTACGGTCTTCGGCTAACTTGGATCTTCGCTTAACTCAGATAAAATTGGTCAGTCCACTTAGATCCGACTTATGTGAAGTTTACTGTATAGCAATGAAGTTTTACCTGGAAACAGGAACCATTCTATTGTAAATTCTGTCCAACTTGCTACTGCAGCTATTTTATACTCTAAACTATGGTCTAATAAATATGATTCTAGTGTTAAAGATCTAGGATTGGTAACAGATGTTGTATAATATTCAGACCAATGAAAGAATGATAAAGCTATTAGATACCATCCAAAATGTGTCCAAGTTGTATTTGAAAAACTGATCAACAGACCAAATCCGAAAATATTACCCAACAACAAAGCCCTCAGTGCATTCTGAAATAAGAATAAGTAAAATAAATATATACATAAATCTATTTGGACATACTGCTAAATGTTTTGTTGCCACATTTCATTTAAATAAACTTTATTTCAGGTCCCAATATAACAGTTATACAATTAAAAGTTCTTTTATTATAAAAATATATTGGTGAAAATATTATTCAAATAGATGGCAGTATTAAATTTGACTAATTTAAGATAAAATCGGCTGATTTAAAAAAACAATTTTTTAAACCATATTTTTATTCAGGTTGACTGAATGGGATTGGGGAACAGGCTTAGCCTATGTAAAACCCCATGATGATTCCCATGAAGTCCTTGTCCCATGAAATGCCCATCAATGGTCGTCATAATATCCCATGGGTAAGTTCTTTTTCAATCATATTATGACAATGCCATTGGAACCCTGTGGATGTTCCATGCACCATGATTTTCTCATGTGCCACCATTTTTTCCCTCTGCATCCCCATCGGCTTTTTTTAAATTCCCAAGTGAAACTCATGGAAAATGTTATATCCTGTATGTCCATGGCTACATTGTTGAAGTTTTAAAAATTATTAGGAGACAAATGTCGGTAGGCAATATAAAATGCATCTATTAATGCATGGGCGCAGATCCCGGTGGGGACACCGGGACGTGTCCCACCAATATTTTTAGTGGTGGGGACATGACATACTGTGTCCCCACCACTTATTTCCGATGTTTTGCTTACTGTTTATTTTTTTAAATTGAAATCATTCCAGAGCTTTTATTGACATTTCAGAAAGTGTAGAGTTGGTCCCAGGCACTTGAGGCCAGGGTCCTTGAAGTTATACAGCTGCACCCGGTGACCGATATTTATTGTCGTCGCCCCTGTCCGTCCGTCCACAATTTGTTTGTGGACACTCTACAGGTCACAATTCTTATCCGATTTTGACGAAACTTGAAATATATTTTTATCGCCAAAATATCTCGGCTGCTTTCGATATTGGCATGTATCAGATCGATAACTTCATGGATTATGGCCCCTGTTTGTACGAAAAATCACGTTTTTAGCTTGTGGACCCTATAGAGGTCACAATTTTTATCCGATTTTGTTGAAACTTGAAATGTTAGTTTATAACCCAAAGATCTCGGTTCCAAATAATTAAAATATTCCATAGTGATTATAATAATATGTATATGTAGGTGTGGATATCTGATACGCTGGGTATCAAATAACTGAGATTTTGTTTTTATCTGGTATACTGGATGATAAATCACGCAAATTATAAAATTCCAAATGCGTAATTTCTAACATAACATCACCACTGTCACATTCAAAATAGATAATATAATACAACTGGTACTATGTGAATCATTAAAATAGCTTTGGGAACAATATAAACAGCTAGATTTAACTTTAAAAAAAAGCGAAAAGTTATATTTCAATGTGGTCGCCATTTTTGAATTTTAACGTGGGAAAATTCGCCTTTGCCATCGGATTTTTAATCACCAATGAAAAAAAAAAAAAAAAAAAAAAAAAAAAAAAAAAAAAATACATTTATTTCAGTTGGTATTGAATATTGATATGTTTAGCTGTGCGTGTGGCTTGTTTTAGTTTATATAAATTAAAATATTTGTAGGCCTGTACATTTGTGTATCCAATTGAATACACATTTTGCTCAAAGACTTTACGTAGTCTTCGAACACTACTGGGAATGGAGGCGGAGCTGAAATCTCAGTAGTGTAAATATTTCTAGTTCTTGTAGTGTACATGAGAGAATAAATCGTGAACGGTGGCTTGAAGATTTGTCTTTAGATTAGATTTCGTATCATTTGCTGCCTCAGGGATTAGAATTGTTTGCCAGAAAATGATGCTGAAAATACCCACAGAGTGCGTTTTAGAGCGTCTTGTTTTCAAAAAATTTCGGGGGATGACTGCCGAACTCTCCTCTTTACCAATATTCACCCGCGCATGGACTGTCCCCACCACTAGTTTTTGGCGATCTGCGCCCCTGTATTATTGTACAACGCGCTATAACTATTATTATTGTACCAGTATCATTTATTGTTGCTAACCAATCTAACATGCGCAATTTTAGAAATATATTTGCGCAAATATCAATTTCAAACGTGAATGTCCAATGATAGTATATACGAGCAATTTCGAAATTGCGCAAAATATTGGATCCATACCTTGTACAAATTTGGTTCTTCTCTGTAAATGAAAAATGTTGAAGCATGAGCTACGAGTACATATGCTAGACAAATAAATACATAAAATGTTTCCCATAGATAGTGGGTGCTGCTACTCAAATGACCTAGAATTGATAGAAACAGCAGACCGGCACCAAGAACGAAACAAATCAAACTTGTTCGGCTTTGCCTGGACAGCGCCATTTTGGATAAACCGCAGTCGTCACCGTGTTACTAATGTGATTGGCTAAAAAAATGTATATGTAAACAAAACGAAAGTAGAGCATGTCACCAGGTAACGAATTGACATGAACTGACACATATGAAGTGATGTTCTTCATCTTATTAGACTAATTTGATAATTTGAAAATAAAGATATTATTATTATTATGATACATATTCACGCACCCGTCGACCCCAGATTTGTTATTTTGATATTGAAAATCAAGCAAGATACAGTTCCTAAAGTAACTTAGCTAACTAGATACTTTAAAGGGACAATAACACTCTTGCTGACTTGACAGCTCCAGAAAATAAAAAATAGCCTTAGTACTAGATGTGTTAGTGTCCTACCTGTTGTGTAAATTATCCATTAAATCCTATTTTACTTGTCCAGAGGGTTGCAAATTATTTTTAAATCCAAGTCACCTTTGAAAAGCTTTACGTCAGGCTTTTCAAATCATTTAGTTGAATTTTTCCAATTTTTTAAATTAGGTGTGTTAAGATGAAATTTGTATCATCAATTAATTGGAATATTGTAAAATGGTGCAATTTGTTGACCAGAATAAAGATTGGGACATATTATTCAGTTTCAACAAGAGTGGTATTGAGCCTTTAAAGTTTAGTGGGTAAAATCGAGTAAGGACCGCATTTATTTGCCACATAAAAAGACAACTCCAAAATGGAAAGAAAGAGAGGGCTGCCAGGTGTTCACGAAAGTGTCTATTTTATAAGCTAAGCCCTGCGTCATTATACAAAACGAGACATTTAAATTTAACTTATCTTGTTCATTTGGTGCAATTTTATTTCATCAAATCACTTCTTGCGCATTGTCATAGGTAGTTACTTAGTAACAGATTCTTATCGGCTTCGTCCAAAGCTGATAAGAATATGTTACTAAAGTAACTAGCGCATAAGGGTTTTTATATCAGTGAGAGGTATAACCATGTAGAAGTTGGCCAGGTGAACCCTACTAATGCAATTTCAATAATTCGCTCGAGCATAGGTGTGTTTAGCAGTGGGAGGAAACCGGAGGACCTGGAGAAAACCCACGAGGTTGGACAGGGGACCCTACTCCTTGTCACGTACAACCGGGGAAACGAAACCATGCCAGTCAACTCAATGACAGATCTTATGATACAGCGCACACATGCTAACCATTCGACCATTTCCACCATCTCAGCCACTATGGCTTTTTAATAATCAAAACCAATGGAACCAGTCTTAAAATTCTTATAATTACCATCTACTTCACCCTTATTTCATGTAGGGGGTCACAGTGACTTAGTAGGTAAGACGCTGGGTCGCTAGACTTGAGGTCGGGTGTTCGATCCCTGCATTGCCCGAGAAAGTTCATCCAGATTTTCCGGCGTGGTTCCCCCTTGTCACTGATGAAGGACGGAGGGCCTGACAAGGACAGCTGCCAAGTCGTTTGGATGGGATGAAAAACCGAGGTCCCGTGTATACATTGGCATGCACGTAAAAGATCCCTTGACAGTTGGAATTCGATATAAGAGTAGGCCGTAGTGCCGCTGTCCGGGCAAAATTTCCCTCATAGCACACTGTATGGCATATGCCCATCTTCATTAGCCCAGTTGGGAGCAGAACAGTAGGACGTTAAACCCCATTTCATTTCATTTCATTATGAAGCTATAAATTCACAAACAAACAATTCAAGAAGATAAATATTCATTATTTAATGATTTTCAAAAATTAACAAACAATGAAATAATTCTAAAACATAAAATAAATAAAAATACAATCTAGACAATATATAATATAAAAGAAAAAGTAAAAATTTTAGGCATAAATTGAATCATAGATTTTCCTGATTGACTAAAACTCTCCAAACAATTAAAGGAGATGGTTCATCTGTTTCTATTCCCGAACCATGGACAAGTGGTAAATATGGCATATGTCCACTCGATGCGACAATGAAACGAGAACTTTGAGAAAGGGAATGGTTCATGGGTTTCTATTCCTGAACCATAGACAGTTTATGATTATGACCCATATTCACTGGTTGGGACAATAAAAACAAGAACTTCAAACGAGATGGTTCTGCTCTAGAACAATATAGAGAGAAAGAGAAATAGGGTTTAACGTCCACTCTACACAAGACTATGGTTCATTGGTTCCTATTCCCGAACCATAGACAGTTTATGATTATGGCCCATGTTCACTGGATGGGACAATAAAAACGATAACTTCAAAGGAGATGGTTCTGTTCCGGATCAATATAGAGAGAAAGAGAAATAGGGTTTAATGTCCAATTGACACAAACTAGGTCATGTCTGGACCACCATATGGTTCAATTTTATTCGCTTGAATGTAGGGGTCTTTAGTAGTAAGAGGAAACCGGAGGACCAGAGAAATCTCACGAGGTAGGAGAGGCAAACAAGTGGGCAATCTTAACCACGCCACTTGACTCTATGACAGATCTTATGATCTAAAGCACACACGTTAAACCACCCAATCCCCCTCGGAGCAATAGTATATAATTACAAACTGTGTCCACCAGATGTGACAGTGACAACAAGAACTTCAATCTAATTTACCCAATTGTCCACCTAGCATGACAACATCATTTACAAATAACATCATGCTAAGCACAGCAACCAACATGGTGATGAAAGAAGAAAATGACGTTCAAAATTGACAATTTGGATGTGTTGGTTCGCTCTTAAATAACACAAGCATTGATTTCTAAAAATTCTTATAAAATGGTGTCAACTTGCCATAGTTTTCGTGTGGTCGCGCCATGATGCAATTGGTAGACATGGGTTGACGCAACCTCCTTTCAATTCAATGTTGAAAGTTGAAACTATTGTTTTTTTTTCTGATGTGACGAAATTGTCATTGTCATTTGGTGAACATTGCCAAAAGGTGTGACTATCAAATCAAATCAAATCAGGAGTCACCACAAAGAAACCGATCATCATGTCCATGATGCAGAAACAACAATATAATTAATATAAAATTACATTCAAACATTAATAAAACCATCCCTAAAATGCCCTGAATAAAACAAAATCAGTGTGGCAAGAAAATTATTGTGTACATTTTAGAAATCATTCTTTTGGCCTCTACATAGTGTCATCACACCAGAATCGGTTAACAAAAAGTTAACCTTGCCCACATAGATTTTTTGAACTAAGTAGAATTAAAATACAGATGTGACGTCATCCTTTGATGTTGGCGTAGGCCTATCATTATTTCCAATAATGTACAGGCAACTTGCCAATCGTACATTATCTATACTTAATGAAATATTGGACTCATGTGACGTATTTCATTGAAAAGCATGTGCGAGATAGTGTCTGTATTTTAAGTTGTTGAATGGTCTCGAGCTAAAGACATTGCGTAATATATTGAAACAACACTCAGCTAACACCTCGTGCAGTATCAATATATTACTTAATGTCTCGCTCTCAACCATTAAACCATACATATAGTCAGGTTTTTAAAACAAAACAACTTTAATAAACTTCAGGCGTATATTTTTTCATTTTCTATTTTTTGTTTCATTTTTGGCATCCTGAAGCCTCTTCAGTAATCTAGATTTAATAAACTTCAGGCGTATATTTTTTCATTTTCTCTTTTTCGTTTCATTTTTGGCATCCTGAAACCTCTTCAGTAATCTAGATTTAATAGAACCCAGACACAAATGATGTTGAAGCTTTTAAGTAAAGTATGATATTGAGCTTGTTAATATAGATAAATTATATCCTTAGTACAAAAACAATATAACAGATTCAAATTTTAATAAATTTTTTTTGCATAGTTCGCAATTTTGTATCATAAAAAATCTGTCAAAATCACCATTATACAAAAATGAGCTTATCTTTTATTTGGAAAAACAAGTGTGTATAATACTCGAATAAAGAATTCTAAAAATACTTATAAAAACATGATATGAAGGAATGAAGTAAGAGACATTGTGTCCGACCAGGTCTTTCCCACTCAGGGCTCACGCTGTCGGTTGTCAAATTGGCAATTTGCGATAAAAATATGAAAGTGGTGATTAAAATTTGAATTTGGCGATAATTTTGGCGATAACATTTTGGGGTACTGGTGATTCTTTTTGGGAACACAACAGGAAGAAAAAAATCTTAAAATTATTATATCCTAGATTAATCTTTACATTGAGTGTCAATCACAATCACCTGGTGGAATACTATAAATTAATCAACTCCCTGATATTCTGGATTGTGTCAATAAGTAATGCTAACCAATTGTCTCGGATTAGTTCATTGATAATTGCCAATGATATATACAAAGCCTATCTGAAGTTGTCATTTACTCCGAATATTTAAACATACATTATGCAAGAGCTAAATCTGCCTATTGCAGATCTATCTTTAGGCCTGAAATGTTATCTAAACTATTTATAATTAGACATTAATTAACCTATCCACTATCCAGACCATAATCAACTCTAGATGGCATCACTAGCCTATGATCTTTAGTGGATTATGAGTCGATTTACTGCATAACTTTCCTTAAGGATTTAACGATTAAATGGATAATCAAGACTAAACTGTTTATCGTACTGACTTTAGTAATGATGATCAAGGCTAGCCGGAAATTTCAACGGCTTAGTTCTCGTTTCATAGTGGATCAATTTGAATGAAATTTTCAGCAAATTGCCTTTACATTATCTAGTTTTTAACTATTATAGTGAGAACTGCCAACTGTGGCATCATACGGCATGTAAAAATACAAGCATATCTAGTCGAATATTATTATTTCAAATTATATTATCACCATTGGTCGGAAATGTAACAACGAGTCAAATAGCGACGATTCTTGAATGAGAAAGCGGTCCGCCATTTGCTTCATATTACCAACACCAAAATGCTCTAAAGATTATAGAGTATAATTGTAAGCATCTCTTACAAATAAGATCGGACTTGAAATCATTCTATCAGGGTTTCAGATTATGATACCTTTACGGTACCTGAAAATAACAATAAGCCTATTGTGCACGCAAAACATAAATTTATAGAAAATTGGCTATCCTTGGATGAGATTTGATGTGTAAATACTGAAAATACATTGTGTAATATGGTGTGCAAGCAGACTCCATCCACCAAAAATAAAATCTGATCTAAATAAATCATCTCGGAAGTGAACTAATGTATTATGTAAAGATACGGTTTTTACTATAAGCCTTACTGAGAAATAAAATTGTTACATGTTGTCTTTTTTATCAAATGTGTTTGGCAGATAAAATATTTCAGTTGGCAGAAAAAAATAGTTTCTTATTGATGTATTTGATACATTAAAACAACAAAAGTTTTATAAAGGGCTATATTTTAGTTAAAATAAAGCGAACAATTTTTTGTAAATTCTTAACTTGAGGTCAGGTTTTTCGTCATATCCTAATGACTAGGCAATACTTTTCTTATTATTGCTATATTTGAAAATATTTCCAGGCTTCTTCACGGCTGATGCCAAGATTTGATGCCTGGTTCATTCTAATCACGGCCACCACCTCTTCTTCATGCTAATATCAATAGGTTTATCATAATTAATGTAACAATTTCTCAATAAATTCTCACTCATATCAAAATCACTACTTTTTAAACACATTTTGTTAATATAATATTTGACTGCCTGTAGTTGTGGAGGACTTAAGTTTCTTGTCTAACTAGATCAAATCTGATTACAACACAGATTCTATTTCGTTTCGTTTTTTTTTTTATAGTTCAAAAATTTTGTTTTACTTGCCTTCACTAGACTAGGATCTCGAATGTCCGATATCATAGGGCTTTAAAAGCCACTCGTATGACACCTGACACGACCTTCCACTACAAACGGTTAGATTTTCATGTAGTAGAGGCCATGAAAAGTATAAAAGAAGAAACGAAATATAGATCTGTATTTTAATCAGATTGAACTAGGTCCTCTTCGTTGCAAACATTTTGATACCATTTACAGATTTCATCACTGCTCGTGGGGCTTTCTTCACCTCCCAGTTAGGATCCAGTGACAGTGTAAAACTGAAAATAAAAATTTCATTAGAATAATTTTAGTTTATTAATATTTTTTTTCCTTTTTATCTTGCAAGATAAATAATGTTTTCTGCAGCGATTAAAAATAAAGATTAAGTCTGTATAATATATAATGCCTGATCTATAAAACTAGGTGTTGTGTTGGCCAGTGTAGGCCTGGAAAATGATGTATTTTGCTGTATCGAACAAAATGTCAGGCACTGCTGAAGTTGTACCTATATATTTTTAACTTTGTGTCTGACGTGTTAAGAATATCAAATAAAGCACAGAAAACTGACAAACCTGTGACAGACAAAATTACAGACACCAAAGAGACTGTCTAAGACAAAACCTGATTTGTGTCTGACAGTGTGTGTAACATGGGGCTTATATTGGCATGCTTGTTGACCATTGAAAAACTCTTCATTTAAATTGAAATTAATTACCCCCTACTCTTTTATAAAAAGACGAATTAGTGGTTTCTAGTAACAAAATTTTAAAGTTTCCCAACTTGAATTGCTTACTGTTAATTTGTCAGAATCCATTCCCCCCAAAGATCATCAGAAATAAAACATGTATATAAAGAAATGAACAAACCTGTGAAGAATTCGAGCAATAACAACTTTCATTTCATGCATAGCAAAATTCTGACCAATACAATTTCTGTAGAGAAAAGAAAATGGTTGAAACACATTCACTATTAATTCTCTCATCTCAACTCATTCAAACAATATTTCGTGGCTCAGTGATTAAGATGCTGGCTCAATAACCAAGAGGTGATGGCTAAGAAAGTTCCCCAGGATATTCTAGCATGGTTTCTCCTTGTCAGTGGTGCAGGACAAAGTGCTGGCATGGAACAGTGTCTAGTTGTTCAGATGGTATGAAAAACCAAGGTCCAGTGTACATTTTGGCATATACATTTAAGAACCCTTGACAGAGGGAATTCAATTGCTGCATCGGTAAAATTTTACTCATAGCTACTGTGAGACATATGCCCGTCTTTATTAGCCCAGTTAGTGCAGAAAAATAGGTCGTTGAACTTCATTCATTCATCTAAATAATATTTCAAACTGCTGTAGTACTACTGGACTTCTTTGTTGTGTTTTCTTCATGCTCGAAATTACAACTACATGTTAAATCGTTTATACAACTTTATTATTTAAACATACATTATGCAAGAGCTAAATCTGCCTATTGCAGGTCTTTCTTTAGGCCTGAATTGTTATCTAAATTATTAATTAGACATTAATTAACTTATCCAGACCATAATCAACCCTTGATGGCATCGCTAGGCTGCGATGTTTATTGGATTAAATTTCGATTTGCTGTTCGACTTCCATTCATAATTAAATCATGAAATGGATAATCGAGACTATGTTTTTTATCCTACCGACTTCAGTAATCATGATGGAGACTAGGCCGATCAATCTGACTGAAATTTTCAGCAAATTCCCTTTACAGTATCTAGTTTTTAACTATTATAGTGAGAAATGCCAGCTCTTTATCTAATCTCCCATAATGTATCTTTAAGCAGCTAGGCACAAATATTCCTCGTTCTCAATAAAGTGCATATAGCTTTTGATGGCTGCTCTGTTGACTGGGTGAGCTCTAATCAATTTCACTCAAAACCCTCTTTTATAACCCCCTAATTTCTTTACATCATATACTGACCTTGGTGTTAATTTCCTTCCCAAATATGGAATAAACACCCCCATACCCTGAAGACCGGGAGGAGAACATTACCTTATTTGGTCTACCAAACACCTGTCATAAACCAGATAGTATTTGATGGATATTTTGACAATTGAAAGGACACTATGTTTTTATATATAAACCTATCACTTCTATGAGTAATTAGTTAAAGATACGATATGGTCGCAAAGACCATAGTACCACAGTACACTTACCGTAACCCTGCTGAAAATGGTATAAAAGCAAACGGGTCCATATCTTTGATATTTTCGGATGAAAATCGTTCAGGTTTGAATACCATTGGATCATCCCATACCTTAAAGTTATGGTGTAAGGCATAAATTTGCATAGCTACCATAGTTCCTGGAGGAATTATATGGCCCTCTAGATCCAGTTCCTCTTTCAGTTCTCTCTCAATGAATGTAACGGGAGTATGCAGACGGAGACCTTCTTTTATACATTGTCCCAAAAATACCAATTTTGGTAGATCTTCGCTACAATACATAATAACACAAACATTTATTTATTATGAGATAGCAGGACGGAGGCCTGACAAGGACAGATGTCTAGTCGTTCGGATGGGTCAAAAAACCAAGATCCTGTGTACACATTGGCATACATGTAAAAGATCCCTTGGCAGTTGGAATTTGATATAAGAGTAGGCCATAGTGCCACTGCCCAGGCAAAACTTCCCTCATAGCACACTGTATGGCATATGCCCGTCTTCATTAGCCCAGTTGGCGCAGAACAGTGTGACGCTAAACCCCAAGAGAAAGTTCCTTGTTATTTTCCAGTCTGGTCTGCTGTTCGGAAGAGAAGAAAAATCAAGGTCAGTGGCCACAAAAACAAAACCCATCTTAACAAAATTTCTGCGTATTGCGTTTTGTTGGTGGATTTGTTTTGTGTAATTGTTTGTGTGGTGCTGTCCCCCTGCAACTACTAATAGATTTTAAAAGACTCCAGGTTCATTCCCAGTAAAGGGCCTTGTATGGAAAGGTGTGTATTTGCATTGGGTAAAAAAAATATATGAGGACTGTGTATTGCACTGATAATAGGACTGGAAGCACGTTATAGATCTCCTGACAGTTGGATATTAAAATAAAAGCAGTACCACTCTACATGGTGTATGCCCATCTGTTCCACTTAAGTTGGTTCAGAAATGTAAGACGTTATTCCCATTTTATTGTAGATTTTAAAAGATAGAATCTTACAACTGAATGTTAGATGAATCTCTATCTTTTAGAATCTCGTCAACTTCGTCTTGTACTTGTTTTTGAAAATGTGGATGTTCAGCCAAACTGTATAATGTCCATGATATAGCACTAGTTGTTGTATCATGCCCTGTTAATATATTAACACAAAATAAACAAATGTTTAAAAATATATTTCATTCTACTAAAATCTTAATGTCAAACACATAATATAATAATACATTATAACCTCATTAAAGTCACTCATCCCGATATCAATTCCATTTTTAGACAATATCTTATTTTTCACAACTTTTCATGTACCGGTGCTTTGTTATCTATTTAACATTTATTAAAGAAGATATTATCGGTAGATATCTTTCTACTTGGGTTCCTTTGGATTTAAAAGAGGTCCCTCTAAACATTTTACAATATGTTCTGACTTGTTTATATTGTCCACACTGTAGTTAATGCCTAAGATTGCAATTATTAATTCATCATACATGTATCTTTATAAATACTGAACGGAGAATTGAACTGTTTTTAGACTGATGTTTCTTTTAAAGATTAAATTTTCACAATAATCTGAATGTGGATTTTGTATTTTTATATGCAATATGTTGGATTTCTTGTTTAAATATTTTTATAATGACAGCCTTTATCCTGATTCATGATTCTACAAGACAAATATTGTTCAGTAGAGTCAAACATATACAAAAATAGTAGTCCATGATGGGATGTGATGGGATGGAGAGAGAGAGAGAGAGAGAGAGAGAGAGAGAGAGAGAGAGAGAGTTTTAGTCCACTCCACACAAACTAGGTCATTTCAGGACTAACATAAGGTTCAATTTTATTTCAATAATTCGCTTGCACATAGGGGTCTTTAGCAGTGGGAGGAAACCGGAGAACCTAGAGAAAACCCATGAGGTTGGACAGGCGACACTACTCCTTGTCATGTACAACCGGGGAATTGAAACCACGCCAGTTGACTCAATGACAGACCTTATGATACAGTTTGCATGTGCTAACCATTCAGCCATCCAACCCCCCATATTGAATTAGAAATACGACAAAATGGATGAAAAGATATGCAAGACAATTCCGTTCCGTTTCAGAAGAAGCAAAAAATGTGACTAACGTAAAATATACCAGATTTGACCTTTGACTCCCCACTGACGATCTGATGTTTATATAATACAGACATGTATTTACCTTCAAATAAAAATGTATCCGCTTCACTTCTTATTTCATATGGTGTTAATCCCTTTCCATCTTCATCTTTAGCTGTTAATAATATATCCAAAAAATCCAGATGTTTTTTTTCCTTCAATTGTTCAGAATTATTTTTTGAGCTATCCTGCAAGCATATTCAATAAAAACATACTAAAGTGAGATTCATTTAGGAAGTTCTTTTATAAGGGATCCAATCTGCTTAAAATACAGATCTATATTTCGGTCTTTTTTTTTATACTTTCGATGGCCTATTGCGATAAGTCACTTCAGAGGTCATACGAGCGGCAAGTGAGCCTATGACGTCAGACATTTGATTAACCAATCAGCATTAGTGTTACTAGTAGATTACCGACAAAACACGCCTAAAGCTTGACGTAACAGACCGTTTCATTGGCTAATACCTCTCACTATTCAGAACAAGTCAATGATAACAACTCTTCCAGATCCGAGTGTAGTAAAGACAAGTAAAACAAATTTTGAACTATAAAAAACGAAACGAAATAGGATATGTATTTTAATCAGATTGGGGATCAAATGTCATTAATTCTTCATATTTGTCCAACAACACATGACAGTTATTTATAGTCTATCACTAAATCTCTCTAAAAACGTTTTATGAAATAACAATTACCATTATAACCTACTGTTATATTGAATTCCAATTACCAAGGGTTCTTTTAAGTTCACGTCCATGTGTGCACAGGACCTCGGTTTTTCGGCCCATCCAATCAACTATTAATTGTCCCTTGCCAGGCCCTCTTGTCTTGCATTGCTGACAAGGTGGAACCCCGTCGGAAAATCTGGATGAACTTCCTCGGCCCACAGATATTTACTTACCATAAATTTCCTTCGTTTGTCAATTAGATCTTCTGTAACACTGTGAACATAATCACAGTGTTTATAAAACTTTTTTCCATCTTGTGTTAATTTAAACGCCCAATCCATGTGTAACCATGGTTTCCTGTTACAACAGAAATACACATATATAGTCAATATACAGATAGCTTGATGGGCAAGATAATTTAAGCCTAACATAGGCTTCATCATCAAGACTAAAATCATATAAAAGGTTTCTCCAGTTAATGTTTATAGGGTCTTTCCCTCATCTTTCCTTATTCCATTTTCATTTGGGGGGTTGGATGGCTGAATGGTTAGCGTGTGCGCATTGTATCATGAGGTCTGTCATTAAGTCAACTGGCGTGGTTTGATTCCTTGGCTTTCTCCCACTGCTAAAGACCCCTAAGTGCAAGAAAATTGTTGAAATAAGCCATATGTTAGTCCCGAAATGACCTGGTTTGTACCGAGTGGACAATAAACCACATTTCTCTCTCTCTCTCCTATTTTGATTGAATAAAAATATGGTTAATAAATCCATACTCCTTGTCTTATTTTTATATAATCTTTTTCCCCGTCTTTCTATATTTCATGTAAAACTGTAAATACCATTAATAAATCCATGCTCGTAATCTTATTTCCTGTTGATATCTAATTAAAAGAAGTTTCCATAAATTCTCTAGAACATTATTTCTCAAGCGTAGGGGACTATAAAAACATTTTGGAAGTCTGCATAAAGTCCAAGGAAGGAAAGGGGTCTGTGAAAAAAGATAGCCAAGTACAATTCAGTATGAAACTGTTGGCATTCTGACAATAAATTTTCAATAGTTGATTTCAATAGCTGATTAATAACATGCTATGGCTTCATGTACCATTTTTTTGTTATCAGAATGGCTATAAACAAATTGTTCAGATTAAGATGGTACAGGGATAATCAAAGATTTGTGTGAAAAGGGGTGGGACATACCGGGATTTCTAACGCTCCTAATATGTAAAATTAAAATTGAATGAAAGCTGTAAATGCATATATTCGGGGAGGGGGGTTATTGGAGGTTTGTAAAATGTCCCAAAGGATCGCGAGTAGAGAAAGGGTATGACCTCTCATAAGCATCAAGGCACTACATTTCATTTATCACATGTTTATAGGAATGATTATCCAGTATCATTTACAACTGTCAGTAACATTTATCAGGGTTACGTACATGATGCCACATTTTGGGATTCATTCAAATTTTGTATAGATAAGATTACTTCCTGTAACCGGGTTAAAACATTTACGTACAGTGATTAATGAGACTGTTTTTGTTTTTATTTTTTTAAAATAAAAACGAGCTATGCAGCCCTTTCTGAATGACACAGAATTATGGATATGGAATATCTATAGAATTTCTATGTAGGTTATATCTACTTACAATGATCTGGCTACCCATATATCTTGAAGTTCCTTTACAGCAGTTACATATGCCATATTATACCTTAAAATATATTATTATAATACAACATGACAGAAAACTAATAATAACATAACATGACAGAAAAATTTTCTTTCTCGAAAATCAATAAAATATGGGGAAGAAAAGTAATTTTATTTGGGAAGTACAGTAAACCTTGCATAAGTCAGATTTGTATAAGTCGGATCTTTGCTTAACTCGGATAAAATCTTTTGGAGCCTTTGATCCTGCACATTTTTCTTATTAAATTTCTGCGCGTAATGTCGGATTTCCTAAATCGGATCTTTGCTCAACTCGGATCAAAATGTTCGGTCCATTTGATCTAATTCCTGTTTTTTTTTTTTTCCTTCGCTTAAGTCGGATCAGCAGTATGTTCAGAATTTCACTGTTATTTTCGTCCCGATGGTCTAAAACTTGGTTAGGTATTCCATGCACAAAGCCCCAAAATACTTTTCTCTATCATTTTGACTCAAATTAGCCTATTTGACGCAACGCAATAATAGAATTTTCCCGGAAAATTTGTAACTCGCTGTCTGCTGTACGAGACATTTTCCGGGAAAATTTAGGACATTTTTCAAAGATGGCGACAAAACTCAGATAAAATTGGTCAGTCCACTTAGATCCGACTTATACGAAGTTTACTGTAATTGAGAAGATTTGATTAGTTTAATAAGACTGGCAAACGCATGTAGTGCGCTATAAGTATGAGGGAAACTAAATGCTTTTCTTTGCCACGCCAGTTCATCAGGATTTTCCGGCGTGGTTTTCCCTTGTCAGTGATGCAGGATGGAAGGCCTGACAAGGACAGCTATCTAGTCATTTGGATGGGACAAAAAATAAGGTCCTGTGTATAGTATACATTGGCGTGCACGTTAAAGATCCCTTGGCAGTTGGATTTCGATATAAGAGTAGGCCATAGTGCCACTGCCCTGGCAAAATTTCCCTCGTAGCACACTGTATGGCATATGCCCGTCTTCATTAGCCTAGTCGGAGCAGAACAGTAGGATGTTAAACCCCATTTCATTTCATTTCAATGCCACACCCTCTGTGCTCCACCATTGAAAAAGTGAAACCAGGCTGGAAAATTCCAAGAAATTTTCTGTCAACATTGAGATCGATCCTGGGACCTCCTAGTCAGTGATCTAGCGCCATACTCATGGAGTCACTGTGTACCCCGATGATAATAAACCAAATTTATGACATAACAGCTGCAGGTAGAATAGACCACTTGTCACCTATTAGTGTAACCGTAGCTATTGACACTCACCCTTGTACCTGACACTGGCTTTCATAGGAAAAAGCACACTTCAATATAATATCCAATGTTAATAAACTCATTGCATCAAAAACCTCAAATGTTTCTCCTTTTTTTGCGGTAGTAGAAATCTTGTCCTGAAACAAACATTGAAAGTCATTTAAATTGTTTATAAGAGTTAACAGTTAACTTAACAGTATAGATAGACAGTTAGAGAGAGAGAGAGTGCTTGGGTTTAATGTCCACTCGACACAAAACTAGGTCATTTCGGGACTAACACATGGTTTAATTTTTATTTCAATAATTCGCTTGTGTGTAGGGTCTTTAGCGGGAGGGCTGGGGGTGGGGGGTGGGGAAGCAGAGGACCCGGAAAAAACCCGCAAGGTTGGACAGACGACCCTACTCCTTGTCATGTACAACTGGGGAATCGAAACCACGCCAGTTGATGCAATGACAGACCTTATGATACAGCGCGCACATGCTAACCATACGGCCATCCAACCTCCAAATATCGATAGGAATGGTGGCTTAGTCCTAAATTTTTGATTGACTTTGAGTTGTAAATACAAAGTCAATCAAAAATTTAGGACTAAGCCACCATTCCTATCAATATTTGGGGGTTGGATGTCTAAATTACAACTTATAAAATCCTGTGATATGATTGGCTTAAACAGTGTGGGATTGCTGATTAGGAACAAAACCTACCAAAATTAAAACATTTTGGTCTTGAGGGCGTTTTGCTCATTTATATTTACAATTATATTTTGACTTTTAAAGCTAACGAAAGCAATACAGGTCAAAGATTTCAGTACAATTTTTAAAACATGGTGTTTTTGTTTAATTCGGCTTACTGATTTTAACAGTTTCGATCACAGAGTAATCTCACTATTTACCTTCAAATTTATGCCACGGTGAGGCCAATATATACTTACTATAAGTATTTCTACAGCTGTATTATATATATTTACATAAGGACGAAGAATATCAAAATGAAATCCTGGTGTAAGAAGACGTCTGTTTCTAGCCCAACGTTCATTGTTACTAATCAATAATCCTTCTCCAAGCCAGGGTAATGCCATATCATATACACTAGAGGTGAACTGACCTCTTGGTTTTGGTGCTGAAATATATTAAACAGTTGTAAATGCTTGATAAAGACGAGGGTATCAATGTCAAAGCGTTAATAAACAGTTATTGTTATTCCATAAATACTTTTTAGTGTGTTACTGTTCAATTGAAAGGGGCCACGGTGGCTAAGTGGGTAAGACACTGGCTCGCTAGCCTGGAGGTCGCATTTTTGATCCCTGCATTGGTCGAGAAAGTTCATCGGGATTTTCCGACGAGGTTTCCCCTTGTCAGTGGTGCAGGATTGAGGCCCTCACAAGGACAGCTGTCTAGTCGTTTGGATGGGATGAAAAAAGATCCCTTGGCAGTTGGAATTCGATATAAGAGTAGGCAATAGTGCCGCTGCCCGGGCAAGATTCAATGACATAATCAAGGGCTAGGTAATTATCAAAATTGCTGCAATTGTTATTCATAACAGTAGATGAAATGATAACTTTTGAGGTTAAAGAATTCACAATTTTTTACAAAGCCCATAATTCTAGTAGTAATTTATGGAATTTGTTGAACTTTAATAGGAGCTGCAGTGGCTCAGTGTTCAATCCCGGTGTTGGCTGAGAAAATTCAGATGGGGCGAAAGTTTGGATGAAAGTTGGACAAGTGACCCTACTCCTTGTCACGTACAAGCGGGGAATCAAAACTTGACTCAGTGACAGATCTTATGATCTACAAGGTATATGTTAGACCAAAAGACCCCTCCACCCCCGTATATATCTACCTGATATTTTTAAAATACTCCGTACAGTATCAGGATGATACAAAATGATCAGTGGTATGAAAGGTCCCAGCCAAATTCTGTTAAACTTAGGAAACCTTTTTGGTAAATCTCTGTCATATTGCAGACCTGCTTCATTAGGTCCTGGGTACTAACAAGAAAAAAAAAACAAACATATAAGTAACTACAAATAGTCTATGTGTTTGTGTTATGTGCTTTGTGGAAAACAGATTATCATCGATGTTGAAAAAGATAATCATATTTAAAAAACTACAATTACTGTATCTACAACCAATGAATTACTTCTTTAAAAACATACATTATGCAAGAGCTAAATCTGCTTATTGCAGGTCTTTCTTTAGGACTGAAATGTTTTCTAAATTATTAATTAGACATTAATTAACTAATCCAGGCCATAATCAACTCTCGATGGCATCGGATTTCTCCGATATTAAATAGATTAGAACGGTTCAGACATATTTTGATTTAATCTAACAATTTTCAAACCTTCAAAGGCTAATATCTTCACTCGCAATAAAGTACTTTGAATGAAATTTTCAAATTATTCATTTTACATGATCTGTTTTTGAACTATTATAGCAAGAATGGCTAGCTCTTTATCTAAATCTTACATAATGTATCTTTAACTTACTGATAGGACTGTTCCACACTAGTACTACAATTGCTATTTCTGTAGAGCCAAGGATTATTTACTAACAGTACTAGTACTGGTAAAATATAGCCTAACCTATGGAAAACTTACTGCAATTACTGTTAATAACCAATGGATTATTAGTTTGGCTTACTGCAATTACTGTTAATAACCAATGGATTATTAGTTTGGCTTACTGCAATTACTGTTAATAACCAATGGATTATTACTAGTTTGGAATGCGTTACTTACTTTAAGTGAATTACTTACTTTCACAATAAACATACCAATGAAGTACTGTTTCTTGCCAATGAATTACTTACTACAAGTACTTCAATAACCTTGAGAGTATTCCCAAAAATTCTATACTTAAAATAAATAATTTATATTTATAATAAGAAATACTGACCAGGTGCACTGTTCCATACAACCAATGGAATTCTGTTTCTCCTGGACATTTATGAAATATAGCCCTGTATGATCGGAAGTATATAAACCATTTGACTATTCTATATACAGCATAAGCTATAGCAGGAGCAGTTATAACTTGCCAACTGGATACCATATCTGTTGTATGTTGTATATCACTTACTGCATCAAAAGAAGCTGTAAAATAAATCATTCTAAATCTAATAATGAGCCTTTGCTTGAGTAAATCATAGAACTATCATATATATATTTCTCTATGAGTCAATACACTTTTCTTAATATAAAAACATTCATATCAAATATTAACAGGTTATCTCAATTTGGTGATAGTCACTGATTGTACTTTTAGATTTGACTTATTAAACATACATTATGCAAGAGCTAAATCTGCCTATTGCAGGTCTTTCTTTAAGCCTGCAATGTTATCTAAATTATTAATTAGACATTAATTAACTTATCTAGACCATAATCAACTCTCGATGGCATCCCTAGTCTGCGATATTTATTGGACTAGGTTCCGAATTGCTGCTCAAATTTCATTCATGATTTAGTCATGATGATCGAGGCTAGGCCGAAAATTCAATCCCTAAAATCTTGGTTCAGAGTGGATCAATTTGACTGAAATTTTCAGCAAATTATCTTAACATTATCCAGTTTTTAACTTTTATAGTGAGAACTGCCAACTGCCAGCTCTTTATCTAATCTCCCATTATGTATCTCTAACTAAAGACGCTGATAGTCATTTGCATTTATAGAGCAATATTTAATTTTTCACTGTGTAATCCATGATAATGGTCTTACTCAAACTATTTATTTTTAATTTAACATTTAATTAAGAAATCGACATTCAGAAATCAACGCCTAGGATTCAATTGGATTAAAAAGAGGCCCATCAAAACATTTTTCCCAACATTTATTGGTGGCACTTCAGATTGCCTATTTCCTATGTTCGTTCCCTGTGTCCAATTGGCTGAGAATGTTCATCAGGATTTTACGGTGTGGTTCCCCCTTGTCAAGTGGTGAAGGAGTAAGACAGAGGGCCTAGCAAGGAATAATGGATAGTCGTACGGATGTGCGAAAATATGAGCTGATCTGTATTCCTTGGTGTGCACTAAAAATTAACCCTTGACTGTTGGAATTCTGAAGAAGAGTAGGCTGTAACTGCCGTATTCCAGTCTTCATTAGCTCGATAGGAGCAGAACAGCTAGGATGTTATTATAAACCCCAGTTCATTTCATTTATTGATTAAACGCTTCAGTAACTCAGGACAAGATTTTACTTAATTAAGGAAACAAATTACCGAAGGATTCGAAATATTTTACAATGAGATTTTGGAGAAAAAAAACCCATCTAGGCTAAAGTATATTATAAAAAAAACCAAAAAAAAAAAAAAAAAAAAAACAGAGTTAGAACACCCAGAATAACATTTTATAAATATAATAGAAATTCTTTGCACAGTTCAGAGTCTTAAGTCGCTACGGGACGTAGCTAAAAACGTTGAGATGTGTTAAGAGATGAGATTTCTTACCGTATCTTCTAAAGTCTTAATAATAATAATTAATATATGTTATAACTGACTTCGCGCACAAAAATTGCCTTAAAAGTCTGTATCTATCTATTTCTACCTAAACCGCCAACATTGTATTTTAATACTAACTTTTGACAATAGATGTTTTTTGCTCTTCAAATACGTTTACGTGGAAACCAACATGTCATTCAAGGATTTGTAATGTTTATTTTATCTCTGATTTTAATGTCAAAATGACCAGAGAATGAGGTTATCTCCCTTTAGGTCATTAATGAGGACTTCCGGTCATGCTGTCTGCTGTATCCAAAATTTACCTTTTTATTTGTTACTAAACAGTACATGTTTTATTTTCATCTTTTATATAGGTCTTAGTTGTTTTGTTGTTAATGCAATATTTTTACTTTAACTTAGCCTAAGTCTTAGCATTCACTTTTGTTGCCGTTGGTGAAAAACATTGAAACAAATTTCAAACAAGACACATATCTAGCTAAAGACTAAACACCGACAACATGCCTTTTATGAAGGGTAGAGCTGCCATTAGGCGGACATTACAATATTTAGAAAGAGGCTCATTAGTTTTAAATGACAGTGTTCAAATCATGACTGTAAATTATAATTCAGGCCACAAAGCGAGCAGGGGAACATAGTAAGAACAATTTTATTATCTTTAGACTAAACAATTACTGTTAATTAGAATAAACAAATACTGTTAATTAGAATAGTAATCTTAATCATATACCAATCACTTGATAAGAAACCTTGTCTCTCCGGACCCTTCATGTCTCGAGATATCATATGTAGTTCTTTCTGGCAGGTGCAGATGTGGTTCACATAGGCCTGCCGCCTAGTAATAGTATAGTAATTCAATAGCAAAACTGTCAATTTTGTTTTTAAAACAACAGTTGATTATTGTTATTTATTACATTTTGTCACATCCAACTACAACTAAGCATATAATGCTACTGCTACCTGACATGAGTGCAAATCATCTCTTTTAAATCAAAGTGTTAAAAGCTGTATTTGCCTGACATAGGTTTGATGTCGAAATGTTATGAAGGCAGGGTAAATATATGTCATGTGCAACAGCCAATCAAGACACAGGACATAAAACCATAAGCAGAGAACCTTATGGCCTATCCGATTTTGTTAAAAACACCGCTTGAATAACTTTACTGACAATATTTGCCAGTTGAAACCAATGGCATCCAATCGTAACTAAAAACAAACACAGATGTATATCTCAATGTTTTTAACATACGTTCTCGATCGTAGCTAACCAATCACAAGTGACATAGGATTATTATACATTGTAATAATTTGGGTGTTATAATTAATCAACTAGAATATTTTTTTTAAATCAAAGTTTACATTTTTATTTCAGTGACTTTATATTCTGGTATTTAGGTCAAGTTCAGTTTAAAAATCCAAGTGTACAGATCCTTACCTTTAAAAATATGACACCATCACCTTATATCAGTTTTTATTTAGGTATGTAGCCCATAGTGAAGCCATTAAGAATGATGATTTTCTTCATTTCTGTGCACTGTATTCTGTGCATTCGGGACACCATTCTAATATTTTATTGTTAGGGCGTGCTGAGTCATATGTTTAAATCTGGTATTAATTGAACCAGGTTATGTAACTGATTTTACTGATTGTATATCTGAAAGCACCTAAATCGTTCTGTTCTGTGCTGTCTTGAGTTTTTAAGATATACTTGATCATACAGAATTATGTTTGGCTAACTCGGTAGAATTCCTTACTTGGGGTTGTGGGTTTGATTCTAGACAGTAACATCATTCCTGTCACATGATACACTCATGGAGAGACAGAGAGAGAGGAATGGGGTTTAATGTCCAGTCAACACCAACTAGGTTTATTTTGGACTAACATACTGGTATGGTTCTATTTTATTTGAATTATTCGCTTTAGCAGTGGGAGGAAACCGCAGGACCTGGAGAAAACCCATAAGGTTGGACAGGTGACCCTACTCCTTGTCTTGTACAAATGGGGAATAAAAACCAAGCCACTTGACTCAATGACAGACCTTATGATAGTAGGATGTTAAACCCCATTTCATTCCATTTCAGACCTTGATCCATAAACTTATGGTAATTTTGAGTTTGCCATGCATAAGATACATATAATTAGTCTGTAGAATAAATTATGTGAACATCTTAACATTCACACAAAAATGATTTACCATTCAATACTTATGTTTTAAATTTGTAAATGATATATTATATAACCCATGCCAAACAAAGTTAAGAGAGGGATATTGAAATTGGCTGTCTGTTACAGTTTTGTTTCTGGGGCATATCTCATAAACCGTTCAAGGTTTCTTTATGAAAGCCATCGATTGAGTACCTAGGTATCAGACGTTCCAAAAGGATATATGGCATGATCCAATCTGATTAAAATGCAGATCTATCTTTCGTTTCATTTTTTTAATACTTTCGATGGCCTACACTACATGAAGATATGACCAGTTGTACTGGGAGGTCGCATCAGGGTCACATAAAACGCCTATAGAATGCCTGTTATATAACAACTCTTCCAGATCCTAGTGTTGTGAAGACAAGTAAAACATGTTTTATTATTTGATTGATCAGATTATATATTTTTAGATAATGGAGAGAAAATTTTGGTAGATGCAGATTCTAGAGATAAAGATGAAATATACCAGCATATTAAAACAGTCTTAGGAAAATCAGAGTAAGTATCTCATAGTTTGAAATTTATATCTGCCGAGAGTGTGGATTGATTCTACCCATTCTATGTATTGGTGGGGGTTGGTCGGTGACCGAATAGTCAAACGCGTGCCCTTTAGTCACAAGGTATATCATTGAGTCAAATGGTGTGGTTTTGATTTCCAGTTTGTATGTGGCAAGGCGTAGGTTCGCCTGTCCAACCTTAAACAAATCATTAAAATATAATTGAACCATATGTTTGTCCTGAAATGACCTGGTTTGTGTCAAGTGAAACCCCAATTCTCTCCCTATCCCTCATGTATTGGGTTTCAGATATAGTAAAATAAAGCTTATACTGCAAATAGTGTTGTATGTACCATTTTAGCTGTCAAATAGCTACATCCAACTGATCTCAGGTGTTTTTATCCTTTGCCAAACAAAATTAAGGGGGGTTTTGTTCGTCCTTCCGTTGGAATATTGCTGACTGAGTCTTCTTGTTGACCATGTCATCTGATGGAATAGCTTAGCCCAGGTAATGGCATTACATCAGATTCTGTCCCTGAATTTCAACTAGCTTAGTTCAGAACTAAGGTTCCCCCTGGTAGAATTCAGAATATCCTCATCACAAGTATGATACTGTAGCACAACTCATTGTGCTATGAGATAAATTTTGCATGGACACTTTTCAAATTCCAATTGCTAAGGGTTCTTTTACCTGCACAGGTGGTCCAATTTTGAAAAATGTTTCTAAACTCTCCTTATCAAGCCTTAAAGTAATACTGTATGCCTATCAAACATTTGTGCAAAGTTTCAAAGAAAATATATTTATATTTAGTTAGAGGTCAATCCAATTTTAAAGATATGATTTGGATTATAGATTTAAAAAATTTGATTCATTTGTATTTAATATGATGTCAATAACACAGTTCAAGTAGGGAATTTAAATGAGATATTCTTGTGAAAGTGCCTATTATTAGGATATCATAAATAATTACCGAGTTGTTTACATAACTTTATTTTAATTATTTTAGACAATAAGTCCATTAATCCTAGCCCACTTATCTTTATTATGGTCTTCTAACCAAAATTATTTATAACTTTATTTTAGAGAAGATTTACAGAAAGAGGCACTGGCTAGGGAAAAGAAGGCTAACCCTGCTAACTTTGGTCATGGTTATTCACGCTGGTGTATATGTGAAATACCTGGACAAATTCCCTGCCCAGGATGGGTGCCACTACCAAAAGAAATGAGAGGAAAGTATAATCTTCAAAAAAAGGATGTTGAAGTGTGATGTGAAGATGTGCTTGAAAGAGAAGAGATTGTGATAAAGATAAACGCTAGTGAAAGTGTAAATATATTCAGATTACTGAACCTACTATAGTGCTAGAGAGAGTATATTATATAGGTTTATACAAATGATTAGTAGTAAGCAGAAATGTAAAAGTGTGTTTATGACAAAACTGTCAAAGTATGGTATTTTTGTGCTGAATATGAAATATTGTATTAAAATTTTCTAGATATATTTTTATTTTATTTTGCATATAAAAAGCTATAAATAGACAAACTACATTTGTGTATCATGAAATCAGGGAAAATGATGACTAGTCTTAGTCCAACTTATCAATATTTTAAAGAGTCCATAGCATATTCATCACAAATATGCAGTGTTGCATTGAAGTATTGGGGATTGCCTCAGACTTTAGTCAAATTTGTATTGAGTCGATTTGCTATACAAGCAAATTGTACTATTATCCAGTGATATCTTCGACAAATTCAGTTAGGCATTTAAGGATAAAATTGACGGCAGCCGATTGACAGTTATTGTGGAAAAGAAAGCGGCATCATTCCCTGAAGTGGAGACCATTTGCAGGTACTTGATGACTGCTCCATAGCCAGTTTTGTCCATTTCTGGTGATTTCAGTGGGTAGGTTCACAAGATGGTCTGGTATGAAGACAATAATAACACTACAGTTGCAGTTCTTATGTCTATAATTCATTCAATGATTGTATTGAATGATTGGTGGCAAAAGTTTGTTTCAACCCAATTTTCAGGCTTAGACCCTTTCAGCCAGCCCTCGTATGCCATGCAGGGTGATAAAAGAGAAATTTTACCCTTCATTAAATATAAATATTCTTGCAAAATAATCAACATACATCAATTGACACATTATTTAATAATTATTAATAGTTTATTTTCTATAAACTTGATTATTAGTTTGTATATATAAAACTACACACTGAATGTGCCTGATTTAAAAACAGTTTTAAAAGGATATATTCCATTATAGATTTTTAGAAAGTCTACTTTTGATCAGGGAGTATACATGAAGGAAGAATTAGGTGTTGTTACAAAGCCCCTTTATCCCAATATATGATCTCCAAATGGTATATGTATAAACCAATCTGATTAGTGATTAAAACACGGATCCTTTTTCGTTTTGTTTTTTATAGTTCAAAATTTCATTTTACTTGTCTTTACTACACTAGGATCTGGAAGAGTTATTTTTACCGGCGTTTTGGTTGAAGTGAGGGATAAGCCAATGAAACACTCTGTTACGGCAACTTCTTGGCATGCCATGCATGGAACTGTGGGTAAACCACTAGAAACGCCAACGCTGATTAATCAGATTGTGTATAAACAATTCTAAAGAAAATGTTTATCATTATGAAATGACAAGGAAGATAACTGAACATTTAACAGCTTGGTACCAATTATTTGTATATATCAATATTAGATTTTAAAATGTTGCATCTTAAAACAAAAGTTGTTGATTTGATTTTTTGGGAGGCATTTACCCATAAATTGCAATGTGAAAGAACAGGTAGTTGCTGTTCTAAAAATACCAAATATGTTATTTTATGATGATAAACATTTTCTTGAAGTGATATAAAGATATTCCATTTAGACCCCCTAAAATAAGGTGATTAAATTGTCTTCATAGAATAATGAGATAATTTAAAGGATTATAAAGAAGCCTCAACTTCCTTCATTCCATCTCCTTGACTGTATATATTGACTTTATTGTTCCCCTAGGCCTAGACTCAATATTGGATAATTTCATATTCCCCCCAGTATTGAATAAATTTTATATATACAGATATATTTTATAGTAGCACAAAAGTACAAGCATAAAAATTGAAGTGTACACTAAATTGATCTGGGACCATCATACAATTTATCTGTATTTTTACACACTTCACAGAATCATGCAAATTTTGCACATTACTTCAGTTTAACTTCTAAATAGTGTTACTTAAAGCTTATGTATATATTTGAATGACTTGATAAAAGAGACTAGATTCATTCCTCATAATTATACTACATTATTATACAATTAGACATTCCTTTCATATTTGGAGATTTACATGGCTCTTTTTTTTAAAAAAAATCTTACTCAGAGTTGGAACATCTATTTAATTAAATTTATAATCTAGTTCAATTACTAAATGCCATTGATTGAAATATTTATCTGATAAAAACAAGTTTAAAGGGAGGAACAGATAACCCCAACGAACTTGTGGGAGCGCATTCTCGGTATCCCCATTCTTCGTTCTACTCCACTAACCTCTGGGTCTATCCACAGGGTTTTCACAAATTCAAATTATCTGCCCTTGATCGTAGCTTGCTTCTATGAACCAATCAAAAACAGTTTACATACAAGTCTTAGCGTCATTGTTCACGTTCATCACAATAATCTTAGTTGCAATTGCAATGGATCCAGAGATTAGTGGAGTAAAACGGAACGATACCACTGGGGATACCGGGAATAGAGGGAGCGTATCTTTAAAACAATTACTGGACACCTTTGAGTTTGATATTGGGCTCTTATTTTAAGTCTCTGTGCGTCACTTGCATAAGGATATCAATATTGATAATATTAGTGGGATTTCTTAGTATTATAGATTGAAATATCTGTCTTGAAGATTCTTGTAGGAGCTAAGTCGCTAATATTTGGCACCTAAAAATTGATACAAAAGGGTCGCAACGCATACAATAATGTAATATGAATGTATATAAATTGATTTATATTCAATCGTTTCTGTTTTTAATGTAATTTCTAATCAGTTAGCGCCGCTGTCCGGGCAAAATTTCCCTCATAGCACACCGTATGGCATATGCCCATTTTCATTAACCCAGTTGGAGCAGAACAGTAGGACAGTAAACCTCATTTCATTTCAAGGAGCTAAGTCGCTAATATTTGGGACCTAGAAATTGACACAAATGGGTCGCAACGCATACAATAATGTAATATGAATGTTTATAAATTGATTTATATTCAATTATTTCTGTTTTTACTGTAATTTCTAATCAGTTAGGTTCGGCGAAATACGCCAGTATTCTCAACCGAATTTCTATCTCTAGCGTCTGGTTATTCCAGTCTACGCCGATAGTATTTATTGGGCATGCTATCCAGATAAGAATATAGCGTCACCGTTTAACATGACTTATGGAATATGCCTAGCCTCGTTTTTCGAGTCCTTATTACAAATAGCGTTGAAACGCATTATGGTACACCATTCGTGTACCAATTGTAAAATGTTTATTTTGTGTTAAATATTGGATATCAGAAGGCCATCTTTTCCCGGTAAGATCACAACATCAATGTTGATTTAAACCGACAAATAAATCGTGTTTTCAATGTCGAAGATTTTGGATGATATTGAGTTAGAGACTTAGCTACTTTACATTTCACCCCTAATGTTCTAAAATGATAAGTGGAATAGATAGAAGTATAATGATTGCCTGAATTTCTGTGACCTCCTTGCCCATATTTCCAGTAGCTTAAATATATTTTGGGGGGAAACTACATGGAAGTTTGTATCACATACAATGTGTGCAAAGTAAGATATATACTATTCAAAAAAAGTAGGGGATATTTGATTTTGGGGGCATAATACTAAAATATGCAAATGACTACGAAAAAAGTCACTATAGAACCTAACAGAAGAAACATTTCCAGTTACATGTGACGCCCAAACGCACCAATAGCTACCGCATGGAATGCAGGTGATGCTTAGGATCATCATGGGGGTCCAACCCAAGATTTGCACGACTCTGACTTTGAATGTTACAGTCATTGTGGCATTGAATTCCAGGGTGGAAACATCAGTTTAATTGTTTTAGTGACCAGAAAACAAATTTTGATATGCGTCGGCTTACCCAAAATGAAAGGTTACGTGCCCTTGGCATGCTACAGATCGGCACAACACAGGCGGTTGTGGCGCGGACGATGAATGTTTCTCAGTCTGTCATAAGCAGGCTATGGTCCAGATACCGTGATACACAATCTGTACAGGACAGACCACGCTCAGGTCGACCAAGGGCGACAACTCAAGCCCAGGATCGATTTATCCGTACCTTGGCCTTGAGAAATCGTGTCATCACAGCAAATCAGATCAGCGCTCGTCTTCAAACAGACACTGGTGTGAGAGTGCGTGGCCAGACGATTCGGAATCGACTGCATAGGGGTCACCTTCGCGCCCGACGTCCTCGCGTGATCCCTTGTTTGAGAGATCATCACATTCAGGCAAGACGTCGTTGGTGTAGGGATCGTCAACACTGGGATAATCGACGCTGGAGCAATGTGATGTTTTCAGATGAGTCAAGGTTCACTGTTGATTTTTTGGACAGACGTAGGAGGGTGTGGCGTCGTCGAAACGAGCGCTTCCAAGACGTTAACGTCATCAGACATGATCGATTTGGGGGTGGTTCTGTTATGGTGTGGGGAGGCATCACTGTTGCTGGAAGAACGGCTTTACATGTTGTTGCAGGGCGTGTTACAGGCCAATACTACCGGGACAACATCTTGGCAGTCCATGTCGTGCCGTTCGCACGACGTCATGGCCGGCGTTTCATCTTCCAGGATGACAACGCAAGATGTCACAGGGCCAGGATCGTTACAGGTTACCTCCAACAACAAAACATCACCACATTACCTTGGCCAGCACTGAGTCCCGACCTCTCCCCCATCGAGCATGTCTGGGACATGCTTGGACAGAGGTTACGTCAACGTCAACAACGTCCTGCCAATGTCCAAGAACTTGCTGCTGCGTTGCAACAGGAATGGGACAATCTGGACCAAAATGACCTTAGACGTCTCATTAGGAGTATGCCACGTCGGATCAATGCTTGTTTGGCAAACAGAGGAGGATTTACCCTTACTGACTTGGTTGTGATGCTGTGGTAACTTTGCTGTTTGACCCCGGGTATCATTTTACCCTTATAATGGTCAGTCTGTGCCTTACTTAGTCTAACGATCATTTGGAATAAATCGATGAATGTGAACTTCATTTCATTTTGTCATTTGTTTCTTCGTCAGTTTCATTAGGTGACTTTAATAACACTTAAAAATCAAATATCCCCTACTTTTTTTGAATAGTATAATATTATTGTCTTGCCAGTATGAATATATTTTCCAAATAATAGCTATATATTTAGGAACTGACTAAAGGAAATATATATTTAAATATATGAATCTCCTTGCATGCATCTGAAACATTCACTAGTAAAAATGGCCCAAATAATAGCCTTGATTTAAGCCAAGGGAAACAAACTGTGCACAAATGTTTATAAAATAATTTTTGATTCTTAAGTAAAATGCATAATAATATAAAGGGTCCGAGATACAAATATAAATATTACACTATGACTAAATATATACTACACTACAAATATTGACAAACTACAGTATAAAATAAAGTCACCATAAACAATTGCTTTTTATAAAATACAAAATCACAGGTAGCAATTCTCACATTAAAACTTTAAAAAGCATTGAAAGACATTTGCATGGTCGCTTCTTTAATACTTAATGTGACCGTTACTTTAATAAATTTTGTCACAGAAAGACAGCTGCATGGTCGCTTCTTAATGTGACTGTTACTTTAAAATATCTTGTCACAGACAGACATTCACATGGTCACTTCCCAATGTGACCGATTCTTGTCTCTTCATTGCCAGAACACAGAAAGACATACGAATGGTCACTTATGAATGTGACCTTTATTAATTAAAAAAGCTTGACCCTGTCTCCTCTCAGCGAAAATGTTTCAACACAGAACTTTAGCCATTTTGTTCATCACAATGTACAGTAATTATAAATGATATATCACATAAGGTTATGTTGATGACTTAGATATAATATACACTGGGGCCTCAATGTGACCTGGTTTACTGTAGTACACCAAGTACACATGGGTGTAGTTTGTGGCTCCCAACCACATTATGTATCATAGGGAACTCCTCTTTATAAAAAATAAAAGTCTCACTGTGTAACATGGGTGTAGTCGGTAGTTGCTAACCACAGCATTATAGTTAAGTCATAATAGTCTCACAATAGCAAAGCCCCTGTATCACTATAGCAACGTTCCAGTGTATATGCGCTAAGTTTTTAGGATTGAAAGTTAATCGTTTGTTGACGATAATATTCATCTTTTAAATCTTTCAGATTATGTTCCAACATTTCTACTTCATCCCACCTTTGAGCTTCCTTAGCTTGTTTAATATACCCACGAATTATTTCCATTTGTTGTAACATGGGATCGGCCACTTTACTCACACGAGATCCTTCCTCCACAGGTTTCCATCCCTTACCGACACTGTCATGCGAATCATTTCTAGTATGACCTAGTTTTTTATCACCATTAGGTCTTGAACGTTCCGTGTCATCTTGAGATTGTCTCTCTCGTTGTTGAGCTTCCATTTCTGCTTGTCGTTCGGCAGCAATTTTTCGCTGAATCTCCGCCCGTCTGGCTGTTTTTAACTCTTCATATTGGTCCTCGGACGGTAATGCCTGTAAACCTATCAAATTTTCTTGCATAAAATAACTGGCAGATACTCGGATAGCTTTTTGTAGTTGCTGTTGTTTAAGAGCACTTGGAGATTCTGGTTTTATCTCTAAGCTTAAAATCCTCTTACTGCAAAATAAAATTAAAATAATAATTAATAAAGGCCTAGTATCTCCAACTCCCCACCCAAAAAAAACCTAGGAAACAGATTTTCAGATCATAAATAGTAAATTATACTATAGTCTTGCCAAAAGTAAGTCAATTGTCCTAAAGTTATTAAAATCAATCTTAGCGTAAAAACAAAATATGGCCATCTAAAGTTCACTGCAATCATTTCTATTGGTATCATCATACTGCCATATTTAATTTTGTGTAATTGTTTGTTGGTATTTGCTCAATGATAATTCATTTATATTCACAAACAGTGAGGCTAAGTCTAACCTGTCATATTAAGAAACAGTTCTAAAGCAATGAATTAACCTAATGAAACTATTAAAACATTTTCCATTTACCTTAACTGATCGACTGCATCATATAAACGGACTAGTTTGTTTCGTAATGCTTGAGCTTCACTCCAATTATATGTAGCTTCTCCTATACTGTAAGAATAATAAATACATAACAGATATATGTCCTTCACAGTCCCAATACCAAATACATACATAACCATCGAGAGGAAAAACATATCCAATATTTTTCAAACTTGGAGGGATTGTTTAGCTAATCATAACAAGAAACGCCATCGAAATTCAGACACGCCAATCCTTTTTCCATAGTCATTGCCCCTGACCCTGTAAAAATCTGCTTTAATTAGACAGCATATATTTGTTGCCTGGCAATACTATGTTATATAAATAAAATATAGGTCAAATATTAACACTGCAGGAAACACACACATAAAATGTATCTGAGCAATGAGTTGGCCAATTTGTCTGAACTTTGGGACACAATACAAACATGCAAGAACTGTATTTTCAAATAGATAAAATTGTGCTTCAATTCTATATTCAATTACATTTATTAACACAAGAAAGATGAGTATTATGTAGTTGTTTTTACCTTAAAGAATCGACCATGGGTAAATATTCTGGTATCAGTTCATTGGCATCTCGCATACATGCTCTCATTTTCTATAAAATTAAAAAAAACATAGAAACTAGAGTAATTATTATCATACAATAACAAGTAATGTTATTTCCTGGAATCCAAGTTTTAAACATTGTTTGAATTTGTTATAAGCATGTTGAATCGATGTATGGCAATTCACTTCTCATGATTCACATATTGAAACATGACATGCTAATATAATCCTTGATTATAATTATTATCATACAATAACAAGTAATGTTATTTCCTGGAATCCATGTTTTAAACATTGTTTGAATTTGTTATAAGCATGTTGAATCGATGTATGGCAATTCACTTCTCATGATTCACATATTGAAACATGACATGCTAATATAATCCTTGATTATAATTATTATCATACAATAACAAGTAATGTTATTTCCTGGAATCCAAGTTTTAAACATTGTTTGAATTTGTTATAAGCATGTTGAATCGATGTATGGCAATTCACTTCTCATGATTCACATATTGAAACATGACATGCTAATATAATCCTTGATTATAATTATTATCATACAATAACAAGTAATGTTATTTCCTGGAATCCATGTTTTAAACATTGTTTGAATTTGTTATAAGCATGTTGAATCGATGTATGGCAATTCACTTCTCATGATTCACATATTGAAACATGACATGCTAATATAATCCTTGATTATAATTATTATCATACAATAACAAGTAATGTTATTTCCTGGAATCCATGTTTTAAACATTGTTTGAATTTGTTATAAGCATGTTGAATCGATGTATGGCAATTCACTTCTCATGATTCACATATTGAAACATGACATGCTAACATAATCCTTGAGTGGCATTTAGCGATTGAACACATTAAAAAACACAACACAATTTATATGTAAATACAATCACTTTTTTATAGGCATAGCACGATGTTTTGACAAGTATTCAATTATCGTTATCTATCAATTAAACTATTATTTATGTGTTAATTATCCTTTCACCAATAATTATCTTGTATTCTATCAGCATAGGTCTGTGGCTTCCTTTTTGTATCACTATAAATATTACCTTTTAGTTTAACTATTTGTCTGCGATATCACTTCTGTGGAAGTGGACGTTAAAACACCAGGTAGTAGTAATTAACTAATTATCATTTGTGCTTGATAACGATAAGAGAATAATTGTCCAAACGTCGTGCTATGCCTATTAAACAGTGATTGTATTTCCATATAAATTGTGTTGTGTTTTTTAATGACATGCTAAAACGATTATTCCCATTAACCCTTTCATTGCGTCTACCCGGTAGTACAGGGTATTATAAAATGTTGTTAAAATACGCGTACCCGGTATTACCGTGTACTCAGTAAAGCCCTCGCTAAAATTGGTACCGTAACTGCAAGTGCCATCTATTGTATTTTCTATACACTAGAGCATATTTCCACGTGTTTCAAAGCGGCAAACCGTAAAATGGCGGAGTGCATAGTGACAATGTAGATGATGCACTCTCGACGAAGTCGTGAATGACGTCTTGCAGACCAACACGTGGACAATTTCGAGGCGGGTGATACACATAATTCGTTTCCAGTTACTTGATAATGATAGTAGTGAGGACAGTGGTTGGTATTATGAAGTACGTGTGTGATTTGTTGCACGACGTTCCGCCTATGGCTATGTCTCCCGTGCATGATGAACAAGCCCAATGTGAACACGATAGCCCTGTGTCTGCAGTAGATTCTGACAATAATTCTGATGTTGATAATAATGCTGACCTGCTGGATCATAAAGGATGTAGGCAATTCCTGGGTCCCGAACGTGTAGATCTATTGACTGACTATATTGATAATGATATTGATATTTTTGTTCATTTTATATATTTTATCAAAATCCAGTAAAAAAAACAATATCTCATAAGTATTTCATGGAGAAAAATTCGTTTTCGTGTTAGCTTTAGTGAAAAATGAGAAATCCAAAATGGCCACCATGACGTCACATGACTACATTATTATGCAAATTTCCAAAATCCTATTTTTTCCTCTTAGCCCAACCTCATGCCCATCCGAACAGACAAAAAGATTTTTTATAAAAGCTTCCATAAGTACTGTTTGGCATTCAGTTCCAACCCCCCTTTTTTCCCCAAAAAAGGGTCTAGCACAGGCAGTGGATTTACATCTAGCATTGAAAGGGTTAAGATTTGTTGTTTTTTCTATCTGAAAGATCATGTCCTCGATTAAACAGTAACAATTTTGCCCAGACAGTGGAATTATGGCCTATTCTAATTTGGATTTCCAACTCTCAGGGATTCTTTAACGTACTGCAAATGTTGGCAATAGTATACCATGGCCCGCTATAATCTAAGACAAGTGAAAGTGATGAGAAATGATGTTCTTGTTACCTCATATAGTAAGACTAGTGTTGGTTTAATATTTCTCTGTTCCGTCATCTGATCTCTCCTTTCTAATAACATTCTACACCCTTTACAGATTCTCATGTGACCTTCCGCCTCTAACCCCATTAAAGAATTTAAACTTGTGCTGCTATCTGAACGTTTTAAAAATCCACTTTCCCCTTCAAATGACACGGCTGGATTGACTAATTTTTCTGTAAAAGAGGAAAACAAGGATTGATTATTAACCCTTTCAACACAAGCCATTCCTTTGTATTCTTTACACCTTTGAAGTTAAACTATGAAATAGAATGAAAATGAAATGGGGTTTATTAAGGCAACACAAAAAAAATATTCTGGTTCTCAGACAATCCATGGTTATTTACCTGATGGCCGGGTCTATTGTTCATTTCCTGTTGTCGAGAAACCTTCAATAGAGTTACTTTCTTTGATCACGGGAAATATGAACAAGCAAAAATGATTAATGACCAATTTTTGATGATGCGGCGGTATCTGAGAACCAGAATATTTTTTGTGTGGCCTAAATGTCCTACTTTTCTGTACCAATCAGGCTAATGAAGACAGGTATATGCCATACAGTATGCTGCCAATGGTAGGGTGACCCATGTACTCACAGAAATACAGTCCACCGCTGATAGTTCGAGACTACCACTGAAGCGTGCACATTCGCCGTGCCGAGACCAACTTTCTGACAGTATGATACTATAAATAGCCATGGCACGTGCAATTCTCTACAAATCTATCAACTATTACAGCCGTAAAAAATTTATTGTTGACGATTTTGAATAGCAGTAAAATTAAGCTTCTTGGTTATTACAGCAGATTTAGAAATTACGTTCGTTTCATTTTTTTAAATCGCTTTATCATTAACTGTACCGTTAAGAGCGGCATTTTTTGGTTTAGTACAAATAATATCTCTGAATCACTCGGGTTAGACAGGAACATGATACTAGCAGTAGTTTCATTTTACTTTTACAAGCTTCTTAAAACGATTGTTGAACTACCCAACGTGCTTATTTCTAAATTCAATTTCTTGTTCTAGCTTTCCGTTATGTTTCGTAAAAAAGTAGTCTTGATTATCCCGACCTGTCAATCAGACGTAGAATGGTCGATAGACTGGTTAAGCGAGACTAATTTCAAAACAAGGGCACGTAACCTATCTTTTACTCAAAAGTGTCTGGATGTTATGGACGACTCTTGGAACCAGTTTTCAGTCTATTATTTATACATGATTAATGGTCATAGCTTATTAAGTACAACATGATCGTTTATTTAGTGACTATAATTGTGTGAAACTGATTTGAGGCTTGGCATATATATAAATATTGTGGCGTAATTGTCACCCTACCAATGGGTTTTCATCCTATTCAAAGGAATGGAGGCTTTTCCTTGCCAAGCTCATTGCCTACACCACTGACAAGGGGAAAATATTCTGGAACCTTCAGAAGAACTTTGATGGCTAACACTGGGACGTGCTGGTTAGTTGGCCAGCATTATACTCACCGAGCCACTATGGCACCAATTAAACCGTTTAAAATTTCAAGAATATGGCCCTTGTGCGAGTAAGTTAAATCCTCAACATTTCTAGAATTAACTAAATATCAGGGACAACAATGCCATTACAAAATAATAAAATACTTACGTGCATAAGTTAAACCTAAAAATTCTGAACATTTATTGCACATGATTCCGCCACATAGACGACAATGGTGTTTACGACGAAGTATTGAAAACGATTCTTCACATGAAAGACACGCTGGTACGGCACCATCCGGAACCCAAGGTACAATGGACTTCTCAAAACCTGAATGAAGAAATTGGGATTTAAATTTATTAATTAAATCAACATCAGTGTATTTCCAAGATTATTTAATTTTATTCAATTTCCAAAAAAATCAGTTTTCATAATTTGTGGTTAAAGTTCCTGATCCTCATTTGCATTTTTCAAACCAATTTGAGGTGAAAGTCTTGTTACTTAGAAAATATAAGATAGGTTGCCAGGCAATGAAACATACGCCCACAGCAGCTAAGTCGTCTGAGCAGTCAACAAGGCCTAGGATTGTCACATATTTTTTCTTTTGTCGATATGAAAACATTTACAAGACACTAAAATCTGATTAAGTAATTATCAGAAAAAATTAGAATTTGTTTGGCTTCTAGTTCTGCCCCATGCTAACGTTTAGTATCCAAAACGTTTCATATCATGAATTTAACTGTTCAAGTTATCTGAAATCAATAGGCTTCTTCGTCTCAGATGATAACTTGAGCCTCTAGAGCATCCACAAGATTTTTCAAAGTAATGAAGGGCCATAACCCTGGCAATAAATATTGGAAAATCAATAGGCTACTTCGTCTCACTGTGTATAAATTTAAAGTCAATCAGATATTAACTTTGGCCTCTAGAGCGTCCACAAAATTTTTCAAAGAGCTCAAGAGTCATTAATCTAGAAGCAATTATCGGAAATCGTTGAAAAGAATTCTTTGTCACATGACCTTTTAAGGTCTATCGGATTATAACTTAGGTCTCTAGAGCATCCACAAGCTTTTTCAATGAGGTCAAGAGGCATAACTCTGTATGTAATTATTGGAAATCATTGAAAATCATTGAAAATCAATAAGCTTCTGTGTCTCATGACCTTAAAGATACATTATGTAAGATTTGGATAAAGAGCTGACAGTTCACACTATAATAGTTAAAAACTAGATGAAAGATAGGTTGCCAGGCAACGAAACATACGCCCACAGCAGCTAAATCGTCCGGGCAGTCAACAAGAGTTGTCGCATATTCTTTTCGGTAATGAAACATTTATAATACACTAAAATCTGATTAAGAGCAACAACTCATGAAGTAATTATCAGAAAACCATTAGAATTTGTTTGGTTTTTATAAAGTTCTACCCCATGGTAACGTTTTGTATACAAAACTTTTAATATCATGGATTTGTTCAAGTCATAAAAATTCATTGAAAATCAATATACTTGTTCGTCTCAAGATCTTAAACTCTGTGTATCAATCTGAAGTCAATCGGATGATAACTTTAGCCATTAGAGCGGATATCGTTGAAAATCGTTGATAATCTGCCAGTAATTATCGGAAATCGTTGAAAACCAATAGGCTTCTTCGTCTTATGACCTTAAACACTGTGTATAAATTTAAAGTCAATCGAATATTAACTTTGGCCTCTAGAACGCCCACAAGATTTTTTGAAGTGATCAAGGGCCATAACTCTGCCAGTAATTATCGGAAATCGTTGAAAACCAATAGGCTTCTTCGTCTTATGACCTTAAACACTGTGTATAAATTTAAAGTCAATCGAATATTAACTTTGGCCTCTAGAACGCCCACAAGATTTTTTGAAGTGATCAAGGGCCATAACTCTGGCAGTAATTATCAGAAATCACTGAAAATCAATAGGCTTCCTCGTCTCATGACCTTAAACACTGTGTATAAATTTAAGGTCAATTGGATATTAACTTTGGCTTCTAGGGCGTCCACAAGATTTTTTGAAGTGATCAAGGGCCATTACTCTGGCAGTAATTATCAGAAATCGTTGAAAATCAATAGGCTTCTTCGTGTCAAGACCTTAAACACTGTGTATAAATTTAAGGTCAATCGGATATTAACTTTGGCTTCTAGAGCGTCCACAAGATTTTTTTAAAGTGATCAAGGGCCATAACTCTGGCAGTAATTATCGGAAATCGCTGAAAATCAATAGGCTTCTTCGTCTCAAGACCTTAAACACTGTGTATAAATTTAAGGTCAATCGGATATTAACTTTGGCCTCTAGTTGTGGACGCTGGAGTGACGGACGGATGGACGGGGGCGACGACAATTTACGACCACATTTCAATGTGGGCGTATAAAAAGGAATATCTTGAAAACTACTTCTGAGTGACGTTAGGGCTGTTCTGAGAATTGCTACCGTTGATTATCCGTTTTTTAATTAAATCATTAACCATCAATCATGTTTAACTCTGCTGAATATCTTGAGCATCAGATGGCATCGAGGGTTGATTATGGTCTTGGCAAGTTAATAAATATCGAATTAATAATTTATATAACATTTAAGGCCTAAAGAAAGACTTGTAATAAGCAGATTTACATAATGCATCTTTAAACACTTAATATCAACTTGAAGACAGTCGGTTATTAACTTTTCAAAACAATCAAGGGCCATAACTCTGACAGTAATTAATGGAAATCATTGAAAATCAATAGGTTTTTTCATCTCATGACCTTAACTATAGAGCATCCCTAAGCAATTGTGGACGACAGACAGACAGACTCACAGGGATAACGATAATATATGACCACATTTCCATTCCATGTGGGTGTATAAAAATGGTAATGGTAGCCTGCTGCACATATGTTATTGTATTGAATATAAAATACAATATAATTTATTCAAATATAAGCAAAATACAATCTATTGCAAGCTCTACCAGGGTCATTCAGCTGTAGCAAGGCTAAATTAACAGCATGTCATGGATCAATCGGAATTTTACTAATACATGTATAATTATATATTTATTTCATACAGATTACATTAGTACAGTAATCAGTACCCAATAAATCTGTTGAACATAATTAAATAAATACAAATAATACGGTCAAATCAATCTCAATTTTACTAATACTTAATTTACAGGGCACATGTCTGGTCATTAGCCCTGTACAGCAGTAATATAAGTTTTATAGTAAAGTAATGGAACCTTAACCTGACTAGGGTTATTAAATATTAGTGGGTTATCATGACAATAAATCAAACCAGCGGCTGCCAGGCAGGATACGTCCACATTTTCGAGAGATGGATAGAGAACAAGCTAAAAAGAAAGTGATTTTTCCTACAATCAAGGGCCATAATTCATGAAGTTACAATTTGATATGTGTAAATATCGAAAGGAACCAAGATCTTTGGGTTATAAACATGCATTTCGAGTTTCATCCAAATCGGATTAAAATTGTGACCTCTACAGGGTCCACAACCTTGATTTACCAAATTTTTACACTATTCGCGTACAAACGGCGGCCATTTTGTCTGGCAATTTTGGTTCGATTTCCACAAAATTCGTACAATATGGCACCTAATTTCGTACAATTAGGTGCCATAATTCAGGAAGTTACGGTCCGATATGCGCAAATATCGAAAGGAACCATGAACTTTAGATAATAAACATGCATTTCAAGTTTCATCAAAATCTAATTAAAATTGTGACCTATAAAGGGTCCACAACCTTGATTTACCATATTTTTACACTATTCGCGTACAAACGGCGGCCATTTTGGTCCGATTTTCAGGAAATTTAAACTCAACCTTCCATAGGGTGTAACGGTGATATTATCATACGTTTTTTTAAATCGGATAAAAATTATGACCTCTATAGGGTCCACAAGCTAAAAACGCGATTTTTCGTACACTGAGTGGCCATAATTCAGGAAGTTACAGTCCGATATGGGTTATAAACTTACATTGCAAGTTTCAACAAAATCGGATAAAAATTGTGACCTCTATAGGGTCCACAAGCTCAAAACGTGATTTTTTCGTATAAACAGGGGCCATAATCCATGAAATTTCGATCCGATACATGCCAACATCGAAAGCAGCCAAGATCTTTTGGGGATAAACCTATATTTCAAGTTTCGTCAAAATCGGACAAGAATTGTGACCTGTAGAGAGTCCACAAACAAATTGTGGACGGACGGATATCCGGACGGACGGATGTCCGGACGGACAGGGGCGACAACAATATACGTCCACATGAAAATGTGGGCGTATAATAAAAATATTTTCTCAATTTCTGTAATAAGATTACTAAAATTATTATTCCTATACATTAACATAACAAATATCTAGATTCTGGGTATTTTATATATTTTCATAACATTAATGTTAGTTACCAGCCCCTACAATTGGGAGTATACTACCTACATGCTAGCTGATTAGTAGGATGTGGTTTAGAAGCATTTGAATCCAGGGAATTAGTACCAACACCAGCTGTAGCAATGTGTGTACACCAGCTGTAGCAATGTGTGTGTATATTCATCTATACATACCAAGATAATCTGAAAACATTGTTACTATACCCTTTCTTTTTGAGGCTTCTCTGGGAGCATCAGGATCTAATAATTTATCTAATCGGATTAGTAATTTATTTGTTTCAACAACAAAATGATCTATTCTTGCATCTCTCACCGCTCGAAATGCATCAGTATGATAATGTGTAACGCCTGAAAGAAACCAAACATTTCATTAATACAAAGGTTAACACACTCTACAGTGATGCTATTTCAATTTGTAAATTAAAGGCACGGGCCAGATATGTACTATTTTGATGTAAAGACTGTTATTAAGTAAATAAGCATGATCAAACAAAATTTAAAAAATTACTAACCAAGTTCTTGATATTCCCACCAAGTAGGATCATATCCAGAAAAACATGTTGTACTGGGATTTTCAATACTTTGTGTATTGCTTTCTCTGAACCCAAATTCTTTATTCCCTAAAATTCTCCTTTTAGCTTTGTCAAAAAAACCTGCAATTACAATTTTATAAATTCAATGTCTTTTTAGCGAACCTCTGCCATGTTAAAAATCAGTGTTTTGACACGTAATTTGTGAACTTCAGCCATAAGCAATCTGCTGGTTTACTATTCACCTCAAAAATAGCCATCAATCAAAGCATTAATTAGCCTTGGTTCTTATTTTGAAAAAAGTGATAGAGTACATTAAATGTCTTCTGGTGAATTGTGGCATTGACTATTTTCAGTTCAGGTCAGTTAGGGAGGTAATTTCCATACTGTGAGGAAATTTACCATTCGGGAATTCAACCTAATAATACTTATATATGGTGTCACTGGAGTAGGTTTACAATAAAATATAATTTTGAGTATGTCGAATACGAACATTTCTTTTCAAAATTATGGTAAATAAAAATCTAGACATGTATATGTTCACATTTTCTACAAGATTTTCTTCACTATCCTGCTTATCCAGTAATAAACCAATCTGCTGGGAATCTATCCTAAACTTGATATTCATGTTGGGATTATAAATTATAATATTACCTTTTAAAGACTGTAAAACAGCCTTGTCTTCAGATGAATGTGCATCCTCGAAATGATCCTGTAACTGAGATACTGTTCCAAAATCTTTCAAACATACAGGACACAAAAAGCCTTCCATAATACCAGTTGTGTCTGCCGCCATGGTTTGTAGATTTCTTGATAATGAAATCTAAAGATTCTCTCTATATGATTGTTTCCAAAGGTCACACAATCTTACTTACTGGGACTACAAAGTATATAGAATAGAAACTGAAGAATTGACAACATACTAATCAAATAAACCATAGACCTAAATACACAACTAAATACACATCAGATCTATCCAATTCACAACTCATTTTGATCGAAAATCAAAAAGGTTTCTTTCGTTTACATTCAACAATAACTCATATTTTATCAATTTTTGAGCCGAAAAAATCATTAAGTGATTCATAGTGAAGTATAATAGAAGTGTGTGGCCCCATGATTGAAGATACATGCAGCTCCTCAAGGAGCTCAGTCCTTCATGTTTACTAAATGTGCAGGATTTATAAAAAGCTCCTGCCAAATTCAAAAATGACTTCTTTTGGCATATTTCTCTAGTTCTTCTGAAATATTCCTTCTGTGACGGTAGGAATAGGGGGGGGGGACCGTTTTTACAATTACAGTTAAAGGGAGATAACAACTGTTTTGATACCGCTCCTGGTTACGTCATAAAACCGGAAACAATTGTCAACCACGTGAAGTCAAACCCCCCAATAAAGTGTGTATTCCTAAAAGATGTTATTTTTTTCCTCCACTTAAAGTTTAACCCCATGATTGGAGAAAACCACTGACAGAATGAAGCATATCAATCGACTGACAGTATGATGTACATATGTTTGTACCCTTGCTACCCTACCTAGTACCTATGCCAGTTCCCCTAGACTAGTACTTGCCCAGTGCATACATTTGTAGCGTAGTGTTATGTAACACTTTCAATGTCAATAAACTGCTAATTATATATTCATAAATCAAGTTGTACAGTAAACCATTCAACTTGCACCTTACTGAACCTTTGGTAGTCACGTTAAAGGAATCTACATGTATGTACAACAATCATATTCATATTTGGACAGTTTTGAAATCTCCAAATAATTGTGCAAGCTTACGATCATTCATGATAAATAATACAACAGTAGTTAGCAATGGAGACAGTAGGCCATTGTGCTAGAAGAGAAATTCAGATTCAGGTGGATAATAATTTGAAATATTTACAAAGAATTAATTAGACTGATGCGATGTATAAGGTAAGTTTATAGAGAACAACTATGGAAAATAGCAAGAAAATCCATGTATTTACGGACGTTAAAATCAAAGATTTCCAAGCTGATCTTTAAAGATGCATTATGTAAGATTTAGATAAAAGGACAGTTGAAATATAGATAATAGAAAATGGATATATTGAAAATTTCATTTAATTTACTTTATTCCAAGCAAAGTTATAGTGTTGGAAGATGTAGCGTTGATTATTCATCATCGTAGCAACAGTACTGGACAAAGGAGACTAAGTCTTGATTTTTCAATTTTAATCTTGTTGGCATTCAAATCCATTTAAATCTCTGCCATCCGATCGTCTATCTGAGAGTTGATTATATTGGCTTGTAATAAATATATATTTTTTTAGTAGTTCACATAACATTTGAAGCCAAAATAAAGACCTGCAATACACAGATTTAGCTCTTACATAATGCATCTTTAAGTGATCTATAAGACAGGTGATGGGTCACTGTGAGTGTGACAATTAAGGTCAGTAGCCTAGTTCAATTTGACAGATCACTGATCAAGTTGAGTAGGAGGAGATATTTCCACACACACAGAGATCTGACTTTCAAACCATCGTTGTATTTTCGAATACAATTCAAAAAAAATATTAAGCCTGAATAAAAAGTGACGGCAACTAATAATTAGTCATAGTTACAAACAAAAATGTCACTCTACGTTCAAAACTGTCACTCCGAAAGACCAAGGCAAGGTGGGCGTGAAACATGAAGCATGTTGAACTATAAAACTAATCATTTATCATACTTTTTTCTCTTTTTCTGAGGTTATAAAGAGGTGAGATATATCATTAAACCGGTATTCCATCAAACTGCTTACCAATAAAGTACAGTAACTATTTTAGAGAGATTTAAACCTCGAAATTAGAAGAGATTTCTTGAAATTAGATGTGTGCTGTCTGCTTCAGTACTTTGTATAACATGCGTACGCACGTCTTCACTTTCGCTTCCGCTTCCGTTCAAGATGGGTGCCTCCGGTAGCAGCACAAGAAAAATAGTTGTTGAAGATCAGGATGGTGTAGGGGTTGTGAAGGTCAAAAGAATATTTTGACATCATAATTTTAATTGTCATTATTTGTTAAATAAAGTACAAATATATATTGCAAGAGATGCGGTTTGTGTTAGTTTCTCATGTCCTCCGGAACATCACCAAAGTCAAACATTGTTAATGTTAGTCACAATTGTTTCAGTTTGGCCATTGCATTGGCAATTAATGCCAATGGCAATATTTTGCTTTTTGGCCAATATGTATTTGGCGAGAGAAACAGAGAGAATGTTTTTTACAAATTCCACTCCACTCAAACTTGGTTATTTCGGGACTAACATTCACATTGGTTCAATTTTATTTCAATAATTCGCCTACACCTAACTAGGCTTTTTAATTGAAGTTTTTTAGCATTCTGCATTGGAAGAAAACCACAAACGAGCTTTGACAGGCAACTTGAGATTTGGTCTGTAACAAGTGACAATAATTATAATGAATTGAGTTAAGACAGTATCAGAGAAAGAAATATATTCATGAAGCAGTTATGGGCATTACAAGCTCCTTAACTGTTATTGGAGTGAGATGTTGACAGCCAAGAATCTGGTGTCTAAAAAGATACATAATGGAAGATTAGATAAAAAGCTGACAGTATATATAATAGTTAAATAATACAAAATGTAAAGGGGATATTCTGAAAATTTAAGTCAAATTCTGGAAATTTCAGTCAAATTACTTTAATCATCAATGGGTGTTTAACAGCAGATCAGACTCAAATCTAATGAAAAGCGGACCCATAAGATGACATTTGTATGGTCTTTTCATGTTAATAAATGTCTAATTAGTAGTCTGCAATAGGCAGATTTAGCTCTTGCATAATGTATGTTTAATTGACAATATGATAACAGACTTGACTTAGTAATTTTCATTTCTATGTGTGCCATGATCAGATATCGGTAGAATTTGTCCCCCTACTCTTCTTCAAATTCTATCTGCCAAGGGATCTTTCACATGTACAAGAGCAGACTTCTTCTTTTGAACCATCCCAACTACAAGGCCCACATTTCTTGTCAACTTGACAACTGTGTTCACACAGATTATACCATAAGGGAAACTAGCTTACCTGTTCTGCAGACCTTGATGGTCAGTCGGGTCAGAGGTTATATTAAATTATACACACGTATATGTATACTTGAAACCAAGAAAGTAGTGAAATGTGCATGCCGAAAGTTAACCGTTACTGGCTATATTAGGCCAATCGATTCAGATAGCCATGATAAGCAAACTAAGAAATAAAAAGATTTCCTAGCTGGGGTTTTAAAAACTGCCCTCCTTTGCTTTTAGATGACAAAGTAAAGCTAACTTAATGATTTCCAGCATTTTATGAAGTTAAATACAATTATAATTGCAGATATCTGAATCAGTTGTACGAAGAATAAAGGGTCACTCTGACAGAGAGGAAAGTTCTACTGATTCTAAACCTACACAACAAACACATGGTGAGCTGTGTTCAACATAATATATTTTTTTTGTTATTGATAATATCAGCTTCGTACTCATGTTGTCCCAGGTCCTTTGTTCGATCCCTGTATTGACGAGCACAGATGTTCTGGAAAGGTTTATGTCTTGTCAGTGGTGAAGGGCAGAGTGCCTAACAATGGAAAATGTATAGTTGTTTGGATGGGATGAAAAATCAAGATCCAGTGTACACATTGGCAGTTGGAATTTGATATAAGAGTAGGCCGTAGCGCCGCTGTCCAGGCAAAAATTTCCCTCATAGCACACTGTATGACGTATGCCCATCTTCATTAGTCTTGTACTCAATGATGGAATGTAGCCTCAAAAACGACTAAGCAAGAGTACACTGCCCAGAAATGTTTATGAATTTAAAAAAAAATAAAACTGTCATACCTTCTAATCAAATCTTTAACAAACCGTGCCACACTGGGTACCAAGCTACACACATGACGCCAGTTTAGTTTAGTTCATTCAGGTCCTGGAAATAATGATTATACTAGGAATTAGTACCTGCCTTACATTTTGAACTTTGTGTTGGATATGTATTGAACATTAAAAAGAGCGACAAAAGCAAATCTGTGCCCAACATGTTAAAGTTTGAATTTGTGCTCGACTTATTTACTGACTTAACTTCATCTAATATTTCAAAACGATTAGAAAGTTATTATACCCTGATTAAATTGAAATGTATTTTAATATTTCATCATTTTCCCCTACAGAATCCAGACCATCAAGACCCACTATAGTAAGTTATAATTACAATTTATTTTAATGTATGTTTTTGAGAGTGCTGTAGGGGTTGGATGGCTGAATGGTTAGCGTGCGCGCGCTGTATCATAAAGTCTGTCATTGAGTCGACTGGCGTGGTTTCGAATCCCCGGTTGTACGTGGCAAGGAGTAGGGTCGCCTGTCCAACCTCGTGGGTTTTCTCCGGGGCCTCCGGTTTCCTCCCACTGCTAAAGACCCCTACGCGCAAGCGAATTATGTAAATAAAGTTAAACCATATGTTAGTCTCGAAATGACCTAGTTTGTGTCGAGTGGACGTTAAACCCCATTTCTCTCTCTCTCTCTCTTGAGAGTGCTGATCTATATATATACAATGTATATACAAATTGTTGAATTGAAGTTAATGTGTTGGGGTTGATATAAATATGTATTGAAGTTAATGTGAGGGGGATTGATATATGTATTGAAGTTAATGTGAGGAGATTGATATAAATATTACATTGTATTGAAGTTTATGTGAGGACTTTGATATAAATATGTATTGAAGTTAATGTGAGGGGGATTGATATAAATATGTATTGAAGTTAATATGAGGGGGATTGATATAAATATGTATTGAAGTTAATGTGAGGGAATTGATATAAATATTACATTGTATTGAAGTTTATGTAAGGGTTTTGATATAAATTTGTATTGAAGTTAATATGAGGGGGATTGATATAAATATATATTGAAGTTAATGTACAGTGGTTGATATAAATATGTATTGAAGTTAATGTGAGGGCTTTGATATAAATATGTAATGCATACCATTGTTGTATCCTACCCAAAATGAGTGCCTCTAGATAATCTTACATTGAAAATAATTGATACTTGTTTTATTTTGCAGATTGAAAGACCAGTGTACTACCCTGCTCCAACAGTTAAAGATAATAGTCGAGCAACTCAAGAAATAGAAGCTTTTTATCAAGAAAAACTAAAACAACTAGAAGAACGGGTATTTAATGTTTTGTCTTTTTTAAATCCTGAAAGTTTTTGTGGGCAAGAGGTCATAGCATTGACTAAAATGCCCTGGATTCGAATCTTGATATGGGTTGATAATAACAGGTAGAGCGTGGGGCTGACAAAGAGTGTTTGAATGGGACATAAAATTAAGTCTTGGATCTAGGACGCATATTGAAATCGTGAAAATGATTGGGGTTGCCAATAATATAATTGGACAAACACCATGGCGTTTAACCGTAAACCATAACCTTGTTATCCATAGAACTGTGTTGTGTTATATTATGTTCAATCGCTAAATGCCATTCAAAGATTATAGCCTTGTCTAAGTTTTCCATTTACTGTGTCTTGACGGCATAAACATATTAGCAAATCTATCAAATAATTTATTTGCAGAATGCACAACTTCAAAAGATAACTACAGAACAATTTGCCAAAGCCGTTAAAGAAGTAGAACAGAAATTTATGTAAGTATTTTTAGGCATATGGGGAAAAGGAGGAGGATTTCATTCAAAACATGGCATATAGAACCATAATTTCAAAAGGTCAAGGAGACATACACATTCTTGATGGGAACCTTAGTACTGAACTGAATAGATCTAGACATGGTTCATAATAATAATAATTCAGTTCATTTCATAGTGCACATAAATTCAACTACACTTTGTCGCCAGTACAATATACAAACAACAATTCCAGTATAAATAAAATTGAAACACATCATTTAAAACAAGACTGCTAAAAGCGTGCAAAGAAAACTCTAAATGTCATTGAAAGAAATATAAATAATAATGTAAATTTTGATTAACTAAACATCCCATTACATTTTAAGATTCTTGCTATAAAGATTAAATGTCTGTTGTCTGATTTTATGTTCCGTTCCATAAGAAAGGTGAAAATGAAATGAAATGGGGTTTAATGTCCTAATGTTTTGTTTCAAACTGGGCTAATGAAGACGGGCATACGCCACACAGTGTGTTATGAGGGAAATTTTGCCCGGACAGGGGCACTACAGCCTACTCTTATATCGAATTCCAACTGTCAAGGGATCTTTTATGTGCACGCCAATGTGTACACGGGATCTTGTTTTTCCGTATCATCCGAATGACTAGACGGCTGTCCTTGTCAGGCCCTCCGTCCTGGATCACTGACAAGGGGGAACCACGCCGTAAAATCTAGGTGAACTTTCTCGGCCAATGCAGGGATCGAACACCCGACCTCCAGACTAGCGAGCCAGCGTCTCACCCACTTAGCCACCGACCTTTCTGCCAAAACTGATTTATGTTTTGGGTGTAATTTTCCATCACCTGTCCACAAAAAAAATATTTATTTCTATATATTTCTATGTTTTCTTTTTTATTGAAGAAAACAAACAGGAACACCAGTATGTGAAAGTGTACAAGACAAAGTTTATAACTGTTATCATTCTAACCCAAAAGAATCATTAAATTGTTGGCAAGAAGTTGGAGCTTTTACAACATGTGTAGAGAGAGCACGACAGGTAAAAACATTATTTCATTCTCCATGTGAATTTTCTTATAAACAGTATCTTATTCACAGGATTGAAGAACAAACTATGTTAGAAAATAGAATTCTCCATGTGAAGATGTAGGAGGATGTTATGTATTGTGCACTTGATAATAAAGCTTCCAAATTCAACCAGAAACATTTAACAGATTCGTCTCCCTTTAACAAAAACATTATAATCAATAAGGACGTTTTAGTTTTGAATAAAATCTGGTCATGCTGCTCTTTTAAAGTGACACACTGGTATGAGAATCGATATATTCCTTTAGTAGGGAGTTTATCAGGATTTTCCAATGTGGTTTCCCCCTTGTCAGTGGTGCAGGACAGAGGGCCTGACAAGGACAGCTGTCTAGTCATTCGGATGGGACGGAAAAACCATGGTCCTGTGTATACATTGGCTTGCATGTTTAAGATCCCTTGGCAGTTAGAATTTGACATAAGTGTAGGCCATAGTGCCGCTACTCGTAGTATTTCGTATGCCTGTCTTGATTAACCCAGTCAGAGAAGAACAGTAAGACATTTCATTTCATTTCATTTCCTTTAGTATGGACAAAATTTGAAATTTAATAATTCATTTATTTCACGCAGACACTATTGTAAACTTCAAATGGCATAAGACAGTCTGAGAAAAGAGAGAAAGAAATGGTGTTTAACGTCCACTCGACACAAACTAGGTCATTTTGGGACTAACATATGGTTTTAATTTTATTTCAATAATTCGCTTGCGCGTAGGGGTCTTTAGCAGTGGGAGAAAACCGGAGGACCTGGAGAAAACCCACAAGGTTAGACAGGCGACCCTACTCCTTGTCACGTTCAACCGGGGACTCGAAACCACGCCAGTTGACCCAAACAGTCTGAGAAGTTTTGGCACCATAAGTTTTTTGGCCAGATGGGAGCCACGGTGGCTCAGTGGGTAAGGCAATGGCTTGCTAGTCTGGAGGTCGTGTGTTAGTATTATATCAGCCATGGTACAGGTTAGTATCAGATTTCCCTTTGCCAGTGGTGCAGGACGGAGGGCCTGACAAGGGCAGCTATCTAGTTGTTTGGATTGGACAGAAAATCGAGGTCCTGTGTACACATTGGCGTGCACGTAAAAAAGATCCCTTGGCAGTTCGATACAAGAGTAGGCCATAGCACTGCTATCTGGCCAAAATTTCTCACATGCCCATCCTCATTAGCCCAGTTAGAGCATAACAGTAGGACGTTAAACCCATTTCATTCCTTATTTTTGGGTCAGAGTACTATGTCTAGCCCTTGTCATTATTTGTGTTTTGATAAATGATATGAATATTATTGTCTATTTCAGAATGCTCTAGCAAGACGAGGTTAATAGAGGATAGACATATATTTTATATAGTGATAGTGTGACTGTTAATCTAGTGTGGGTTATAATAAACTATAAATAGACACTGGATGGATATTTATAACTTACGACATCATATACTACAAAAAATAAATTATACAATGGTACTGTTTCTTATCTATTGTGTCTTTAGATTTATTTCTTAAAATTTAAAAACATATGACATGAAGTAAAAATGAAGAAATGGAAGCTTCTGTTGATGCCTCTTTATTCACCTGTCATTTTCTCAGCTAGATAGAAATCCATTATCAGGAAAAGAGTAGTAGAGGCTGGACAGGCTGGTAGATCTGTGTAAATCCATTATCACTGTAGTAATTGTTCAGTATGTCATCTGTGGACAAGTTTGAAGTATGCATTGGACCCACTCGATTCAGAGATTAATAGTCTGTTGTAAGGCAGAACCCTGTTAAGCATATGCTCCATCTCGGCATGTGGACAAGTTTGAAATATGCATTGGGCCCATTCAATTCAAAGTCCATTGAAAGGCAGAACCCTGATAAGAATTGATCCCATTCCTGTATAACACTACATGTATGTTCCTGTTAAAATGTACATTTACTCTGTTTACAACTATGTGAAGGGGGGTTGGATGGCCGAATGGTTAGCATGTGCGCGCTGTATCATAAGGCCTGTCATTGAGTCAACTGGCTTGGTTTCGAATCCCCTGTTGTACGTGACAAGGAGTAAGGTTGCCTGTCCAGCCTCATGGGTTTTTTCCGGGTCCTCCGGTTTTCTCCCACTGGTAAAGACCCCTACGCGCAAGCGAATTATTGAAATAAAATTAAAACATATGTTAGTCCCGAAATAACCTAGTCTGTGTCGAGTAGAGTTAAACCCCATTTCCCTCTCTCTCTCTCTGGTGCTTTATTCCTCTCCTTTCAGATTTGTAACATGTTGTATTCCAATATGAACTAATTTCAAAATTGCTGTCAAGTCAAATGTTATTTCTGCAGTATCTGTGAAAACTGAGATTTTTCCCCCCGAAATAGTTGTAGTTATAAAAGGGATACAACTCCTATTAAAGATGCATTATGTAAGAACTAAATCTGCCTAATACAGATCTTTCATTTGGTGTCAAATGTTATATAAATCATCAATTAGACATTTATTCACATGCAAACTCAATAATCACCTCTCTACAACTGCGGATGGTTTGATTTTTAACGGATTTAAACACAATTGGCATTTAATAATTTAATTAAAAAATTGATAATCAAGACTTTGTTTATTATTGTAACAAGGGTAACAATGACATTTGAGGCTACACTATTCTCCAAATGGCCATAACTCTTCTCAGAATGACGTAAATTGACTGAATTTTCAGCATATTCCTTTTTCATTATCTATTTTTAACAATTATATTGAAAACTGTCAGCTCTTTATTTAAATCTTACATATTTCAATAATTCGCTTGTGTATGATGTCACCTGTTGCTAAATAAGGCCCATCATAAGAATTTAGTGAAGAGTATATGTGGCGCTGTTTTTTGTCCATATCCCATTTATGTATCGTCGACAGAAAATGATGAATGTTGACAAATTTTCAATTCATTATCTCTTTGGAAATAATGAACAGAAGTGAACCATTTTTTTGGACGAATAACTCCTTTTTAGATTTGAACTTTCGCAATCCCTCTAGTGGCGATCAGCAGCTTTAAACATGCATTATGTAAGAGCTAAATCTGTTTGTTGCTGGGGTGGGGGAGGGATGGCTGAATGATTAGCACCTGTGCACACTGTACCATAAAGTCTGTCATTGAGTCAACAGCCGTGGTTTCGAATCCCCGGTTGTACGTGGCAAGGAAGAGGGTCGCCTGTCCAACCTCGTGGGTTTTCTTGGGGTCTTCCGGTTTCTTCCCACTGCTAAAGACCCCTACGCGCAAGCGAATTATTGAAATAAAATTAAACCATGTGTTAGTCCCGAAATGACCTAGGTTGTGTCGAGTGGACGTTAAACCCCATTTCTCTCTCTCTCTCTGCTTGTTGCAGGTCTTTCTTTTGGCCTGAAAAGTTACATAAACTATTAATTAGACATGTATTAACATGACAAGACCATAATCAACTCTCGATGCCATAGGATAGCTCCGAGTTTATGTATATTACAATGGTTCAGGCCAATTAATGATTTAATTTAAAAATGGAGAAGCGAAGCTCAGACTTGAATGACCAGTACGGTGGTTACAATCAATGCACACGTATCTTGTCAAAACTACAAACCATTGATAACTTTGCTCAAAATGAAGTAATTTGAATAAAATTTTCAATATATTCATTTTGCATTATCTATTTATAAAATATAGCGAGAGCGGCCAGCTCTTTATCTAAATCTTATATAATGCCCCTTTAAGTTGATGCTCCTTTAAGTTGATGCTACGAGACTTTAACCTGCAGATACGTTAAATTCTAGACCAGGTGGGTCGCATCTCTCCCCTACTGTATGTAAAACCTCTTCTTAAAAATAAATGATTCTGAAAAAAAAAATCTGAACCAAGCAAAAAAACTTTAGATTATATTATATTCAGTCCAATATCTGTTCCGTTTAGTAATAACGCATTGCAGGAAATCACACAGCTGCAGTACGGATATCTGCATTATTTTAATAACCTCCTGGGAATACGGACAATAGAATACCGATCATTATAACAAATATTGAACACTCTGGTGTATTTATCTCCTGGTAGATAAAAGTCCAGTACTTGGATTGAGCAATAAAGGGTTTAGAAACAAAATCTTACACATGGATTATGTAATTATCAACCGACCGTTATAAGTATTCGGATGGTGGTTCATAAAAATGTAAAAGGGTTGAAATTATCTAGTAACGAGGCAATTCATTAAAAGTTGCATTCCACACTACTTTCATCAGAAAATATCATACCGCGTCAGTTTGATATATAGCTGGGACTAGAATTAATTACTTGAATTATTTTGTCGTTTATTTCCCACTTATTCGCCTTAGCGATAAGGTCAAACTAAATGCAGTTTCGGAGAGCGTAACGGCGCGAGACGTGGCGGCTTGTTTTCATCACGTGATGTATATCCATCTCCAACGTCAAGTCTATCAATTCAATACTGTTAAAGTGCATTGAACGTGAAAGTACTTAGTAATCCCGACTACTGTTAATTCGATCACACATGTTGCAGTGAGTGAGTGAAGTGAAACAGTCAAATAGTTTAAACATGCGATAGGACAGTTTGTTAACTAAATGGAGATATGGCCGATTTAGTTATTCAGAGAAGTTTAGATGCTTCTCATTACGATTCCGATGACGAGTTATTTTTGCCGAATCCCAAAGTAGAGGCTCACGACAAACTGCCGCTGTGGAGTCCCAGACACGATGAACAAAGTTTTGAAAGTGTGTCGTCGGAAAATGAAGGACCGCCTTGGGAGAGAGTGCCAGTTTGTCAATTGGATCACAATAAACACATTTCCATGTTTCGCACTTTGGAGAAACAAGATTCCATAGTTGACGGTTTATTGGAGGAAATTTATGATCGCTGGCATGGAAACAGGCGGGATAGTTTTGACAGTGACACCTTCACTGAGTGCTCGAGTACATCAGAAGTTTTCCAACGCAGTGATTTGTATGGTAACTGGTCAACCGAGAGACGGCATAATCCCCAACTTCACCGAACTTTCCTTCAAAACCAAAGTGCGTGACAACTTATTATATTATTAATAATCTTCTTTGCTTTTTGGTGGAGGTAACCTTGAAAATTACTAAAATAGAATTGTTATGGTTGATTAACTCTTTACCAAAATATACCCCTCGGGGGTTGATTCCCGAATTAACTTTGGATAAATATTATTTTTATTAATACCTATCAGATTAGACTTATAATCTGTAATGAGATGGGATTAATGGCTGTTCAATGTAGGCCTACTTTAAATGTTAATTTTCAGACAAACAAATGATAATTTTTTATTTCTATAATCATGTGTAGGCCTACAAGTACAATGTATGGTAGGTGAATTGGGCCTGGGCATAAGTGTTTCCACCTAACTACTCTTCTAGGTCGATTTCCATCTGGAAGGGGGTGGGGGGCGAATGGTTAGAGTGTGCGCCTTGTATCATAAGGTCTGTCATTGAGTCAACTGAAATTGTTTTGTATTCCCCATTTGTACCGGTTGTACTACTTAACACGGAGTAGGGTTGACTGTCCTTGGGTTTTTCTCCGGGTCCTCCTGTTTCCTCCCACTGCTAAAGACCTCTACGCGCAAGCTAATTATTTAAATAAAATTGAACCATATGTTAGTCCTGAAATGACCTGGTTTGTGTCGTTTAAGCCCATCTCTCTCTCTCTCTCTCTCTCTCTCTCTCTTTTGTTGCAGGGTTGTGTGGCAGAATGGGTTAATATGCATCCACCTTAGATCATAACGCCTTTCATTGGGTCAGGTGGAGTGGTTCGCTAACCAGGTGGTCTCCGCTTCACTTTGTGTCCCATCAAAAAGTGTTTTTCCCTCGTGCATGGTGCTGTGAGATGGGCCTGGCAAGGAACAGTGTCTTAATGTTTGGATCTGGCAGAAAACCAAGGTCTCTAGTGCACTTTGGCCTACACCTAAAAGAATCCTTGACAGTTGGATTTCAAAATTTCTCTCATACGGCATAGCACATTGCATGATGTTTGCCCGTTTTCAATAGCCTGGTTGGTGCATTTTCCGGCGTGGTTTCCCCTTGTCAGTGATGCAGGACGGACGGCCTGACAAGGACAGCTGTCTAGTCGTTTGGATGGGATGAAAAACCGAGGTCCCATTTACACATTGGTGTGCATGTAACAGATCCCTTGGCAGTTGGAATTCGATATAAGAGTAGGCCGTAGCGCCGTTGCCCGGGTAAAATTTCCCTCCTAGCACACTGTATGGCATATGCCCGTCTTCATTAGCCCAGTTTAGGAGCAGAACAGTAGGACGTTAAACCCCATTTCATTTCATTTCTGGTTGGTGCAGAAAAGTAGAATGTTAGACCTCATTCCATTTCTGTTCCAAACACAGCCTGGCCTATTTATAATGTGTCTTTAGATTTAAATCCTGTAAATTTAATCAGGTCTTGTTGAAAGGTTGTCTTGATCTGATCATTGATGTGATAGCGTTTAAAGTTAGAATCCATGTTGACTTGGTGAACAATGCTCTGTCTCACAGTAGGAGGTCCTGTGTTAATTTGATCTCAGGATTTAACTAGCTTGATTTCCCTATGTCATCATTGCAGAATGGATGGCCTGGCAAGGAGAAAACTGTCTAGTTGTTCGGATTAAACAAAAAACCCTGGTTCCACGTGTGTACATGGACTTGATAAAGAAATGCTGCTGCACGGACAGAATTTTCTTTGTAGCAAATATTATACCTGAGGCTCAGGGTATATGCCATGTGCATAGGCTACTTGTCTTTATTTGCCCAGTTTGTGGAGAAAAGTAGGATGTTAAAACAGTTAAACCCAGGCCCGTAGCCAGCTTGCTGGCGCAGGGGGGGCTGCCCCGGCGGTAGGGTGGTCCGGGGGGGGGGCGTCTTTCTTGCCGGGGGTCTCCCCCCGGAAAATTTTGAAAATTGAGTAGCTGTAAGCGAGTTTCTAAGCATAGAAATCGACAATTATATGTTCTAAGAACGAACTATTCTGAGTGTTTTTCAAGAAATATATTCATAGGTAATATATAAATATGGTCGACGACTTTTTGTCGGGGGGGGGGGGGCAAGATTATTTCCAGGGGGGGCTTTGCCCCCCCAGGCCCCCCCTTGGCTACGGGCCTGGTTAAACCTCATTCGATTTCTGAATTTGAATTTATTTCATCGATTAGTAAATTGTTTACATGTTCAGTGTTGCATTGACTAATTGCAGCATTGTCTATAGAGATGTACATGTACATATTATTAACAAAAAAAGATACCCTGAATTTACCAGTAGAACCAACATGACAAAAAGATAAATTTAACTACGTATGTAATTTTCAGTCAACAATAACACAGATAACATTGACTATAAATTATACAGATGTTTAAATTCACAAAACCTCATTTAATAAAGATATTATGATGTTAACACCTTGAAAAAGTAAATTTAGCCCGGACAACGGCGCTACAGCCTACTCTTATATCAAATTCCAAAGGATCTTTTACGTGCATGCCAATGTTGAAAGAGGACCTCAGTTTTCCATCTTATCCGAATGACTAGACATTTTTCATGAGACTCCAGAGACTATTTTATCAAAAAACATTGTGGCTATTTAAATTAAGAAATACAAGCATGATGGTTGAACATATACACAGACATCTTTAATTTTAATTATATTGATAGAGATAACATTTTAATCTATTCATCAACTTTGTATAAAAGCCAGTTATGTTTTTTTCAGAAATTGTATTTGAATAGCCACTCCATTTGAAACCCTGTATATACATTACATGTATTATAAAACAGTTTGCATACAAACTATTACATCCTGAAGTGTCACTATGTCGCTATTAAAAATAAGTTGTCTTAAAACATGATATTATATAAAATGAAAGATGTTTTTTTGTTAATTCCACCCGGCTATCCACATTTCTCACAAACATTCTGCAGGTTTGAGTGCTTAGGTCATCATTTTTGTTGGTCATTAAAGGGACAATATAACACACTTGCTGGCTTGAAAGCTCCAGAAAATAAATAATATCTCTATCTAAGTACTAGATGTTTAAGTGTCCTACCTGTTGTGTAAATTATCCATTACATCCTATTTTACTTGTCCAGAGGGTTCGAAAATATTTTTAAATCGAAGTTTCAGTTGAAAAGGTTTACGTTAGACGATTCAAACCATTATGTTGAATTTTTCAAAATTTTTAAATAAGGTGTGTTAAGATGAAATTTGTATCATCAATTAATTGAAATATTCTAAAATAGTACAATTTGTTGACCAGAATAAAGATTGGGACATATTATTCAGTTACAACAAGAGTGGTATTGAGCCTTTAATAAAGGATTCATATTTTTTACACATCTTCTGAACCACTAACTATGGGATTTTGGCCAAATTTCATAAGTAGAGGAGATAATTTGGATTGTAGGGACTTGTTTATATGTAGACTTTCTATACTCCTGGGGCAAGTGATAGGGTAAACACTGACTAATTTTTATACGCCCACATGGAAATCATAAGGACTACTTTGGGTTGAGTGGATGTTAACCACCATTTCTTGTTCTTCTTTAGTACACCTCACAAAATTCTGACATCTGCATCTAACTTCAGAATGCAGCTAGTGGGCGTATATATTCTTGTTTGTCATGCTACTGTACATGGAGTTATTATACGCCCACCTGTCCGTTCATATTTGCTTGTGGACACGCTACAGGTCATAATTTTTGTCCGATTTTGACGAAACTTGAAATATAGCTCTATCTTCCTTTCAATATTTGCACATATTGGATTGTAACTTCCTGGATAAGGACCCCTGTTTGTACGAAAAATCACATTCTTAGCTTGTGGACCCTCTAGAGGTCACAATTTTTATCCCATTGTAAAAAATGTTTAAGTTTATCACTATTACACCCTAATGACGGTGGAGTTCGAATTTCATGAGAATCGGACCAAAACTGGCCGACATATTTGAGCACTTCAGATGATAATTTTCTGGATTATAGCTCCTGATTGTACGAAAAATCACTTTTTTTTTTTTTTGTTCTCTATCCATCTCTTGCAAAATGTGGGTGTATCTTGCCTGGTAATGTGATATTACTGATGACAACCACTAGATCCATATATTTATAGATTATAAAGTTATAATACATGTAATACAATAATATTAAACCTTTATAATACAATAATATCCAATTTAAACCTTTATGATATGATAATATCCAATTTAAACCTTTATGATATGATAATATCCAATTTAAACTTTTATGATATGATAATATTAAATGTTATATATCAAATGTTAAACCCTTATGATTCAATAATATCAAATGTTAAACCCTTATGATACAATAATATCAAATTTTAAACCCTTATGATACAATAATATCAAATGTAAAACCCTTATGATACAATAATATCAAATGGCAAACCTTTAGGATATGTATAAGAGTGCTGTAATATCAAAGGATATAACCTCATGATAGATAATTATCAAATGTAAAACCCTTATGATACAATAATATCAAATGGCAAACCTTTAGGATATGTATAAGGGTGCAGTAATATCAAAGGATATAACCTCATGATAGATAATATCAAATGTAAAACCTTTAGGACATGTACAATTACATGTATATGTATATGTATATGCAGAACTGTTCTGATTGATGGCTGATAATTGGGAAGTGGATATTGCACTATACATGTATGTATGTAGAATTGTTATACACCTGGTTGTATATCAATATGATTATGTGTTGCAATACTTAAAGATACATTATGTAAGATTTAGATAAAGAACTAGCCATTCTTGCTATAATAGTTCGAAAGTAGATGATGTAAAATGAATAATTTGAAAATTTCATTCAAATTACTCTATTGCAAGCGAAGATATTAGCCTTTGAAGGTTTGACAGACATGTGCAATAATTTCAACCACCGTACTGGTTGATCGAAGCTAAGTCTCGGTCCGCCATATTTGATTAATTCAAAGTATCGCTGAACCATTCTAATCTATTTAATATCTGAAAAATCTGATGCCATCGAGAGTTGATTAAGGCCTGGATCAAGTAATTAATGTCTAATTAATACTTTAGAAAACATTTCAGGCCTAAAGAAAGACCTGCAATAGGCAGATTTAGCTCTTGCATAATGCATGTTTAATACATACATGTAGCTTTATCAAACCAGATTTTTCTGTCAAAAGTGGGATATTTAGAAATGTTCATGTACACCTGAGTATATAGTTTCATATTCACCCAACCGTATACTGTATGTTATTGTACCTTAAAATGATGTTGATAAGTATCAATATGTAGATGTCAATAATATAAATTGATATTTATATATATGTTGGCCTATATAATCAATATATACCTCAATGACTCATGTGCATGTATTACAATGGGTTGTTAAATATTAATAATGTAAATTATGGTTTTACAAATCACTCAGAAATATTGTCATGCATATATGAATTTCATCTTGATCTGAATTTAATTTGTTCCTGTTGCCTCGGGGCAAAGACACATTTGGTGCCCGTACCAGCTGTCATGATTTCTGTTTATATTACTAAATTTTGTTAAAGTGTAAAAAAGAACAAAAAAGCAAAAAAATGAAATATATTTAATAATTTTATCAAATAAATGTCATAATGTTGTCACTTATATTAGAGCAGATATAAAAATCTGAAAAAAGGGGCATGTACATATAATTATTAATCAGGGTATAATAGACCAGAATGTCTCCTCCCACTGGGGGTGGGGTGGAGAGGGGTGGTGGATGGCCGAATGGTTAGTACAGGCGCGCTGTATCATAAGGTCTGTCATTGAGTCAACTGGTGTGGTTTCTATTCCCAGGTTGTACGTAACAAGGAGTGGGGTCGCCTGTCAACCTCGTGGGTTTTGTCCAGGTACTCCGGTTTCCTCCCACTGCTAAAGAACCCAACGCACAAGAGAATTATTGACATAAAATATGTTAGTCCTGAAATGACCTAGTTTGTGTCGAGTGGACATTAATTCTATTTCTCTCTCTGTTTTCCTTCCACTGCTATACCAGACCCTATGTATACAGAGTATACCATATGTTAGTGACCTAGAATGTGTTGATTGGACGTTAAACCCCATCTCTCCCTCCCTCTCTAGACCAGAACACCAAGGAAAATTATATCCAATAAAACCTGCTCCTGCCTCGTATGTGGCTGAATGATTTAACATGTGCACGTTGTATCATTGGATCTGTCATTGAATCAAATGGAACCCCATTTCTCTCTTCTACACTACAGCCCATATCCATAAAAAAAGGTTTTATTTTAAGTTACAAATACTGATAAAAATTTAGCTTTTTTTAAAAACAAATTTATTTATCAGTAGTTGTAACTTACTGGTACCCTGTATGTTTACTTATTTTTTTATGAATTTTAAAAACTGAGTAACATTTGAAGTATTTATTTAATGTATTATCTATTACTGCAGGTCTATCAAAGTTGTATAAAATGAGAGATGATTTAAAACGAAGCAGCAATCAAATGTCCGCCAGGTTAATTAGACAGTTAAAACGACGGGATCGCCGTTTGGCTAAACTTCAACGTAATTGTGATGTTGTTACTGCTGTTATTCAGGCAGCATCCCTTAAAAGACGTAAGTTCCTATTCCGTCATTTTGTTTCATACTTTCTCCTGGTTTTGGAATCTTTTTAATCTTTTCTTTGTAATATTTATCATAATTTTCTACTGGTTTTGGAATCTTATCTCTGTAATATTTATCATAATTTTCTACTGGTTTTGGAATCTTATCTCTGTAATATTTATCATAATTTTCTACTGGTTTTGGAATCTTTTAAATCTATTTGTCTGTAATATTTATCAGAATTTTTACTGTTTTGGGAATCTTTTCTCTGTAACCCTTTATCTAATGTATTTATCAGAATTAAACATATATACTCAACTTATCTTCTGGTTTTGGAATCATTTTTTATCTTCTTTTTGCTAATCTTACTAATGCATATGTTTATACTCCTGCTTTTAATGTAGACATATATTGTTGTTGCCTTCTTTAGTCTTGCCACAACTTGTATAACTCTGTGGCTAAGTGAGTAAGACGCTGGCTTGCTATCCTGGAGGTCACGGGTTCAATCCTGGTGTTGGCCGAGAAAGTTCATCAGTATTTTCCGGTGTGGTTTCCTCTTGTCAGTGGTGCAGAACAGAGAGCCCGACTCAGATGGGATGAAAAACCAAGGTCCCGTGTACACATTGGCGTGCACGTAAAAGATCCCTTGGCAGTTGAAATTGATTCGATATCAGAGTAGGCCGTAGCGCCGCTGTCCGGGCAAAATTTCCCTCATAGCACACCGAATGGCATATGCCCCTTTTCATTAACCCAGTTGGAGCAGAACAGTAGGACAGTAAACCTCATTTCATTTCATTAAAGGAGCTAAGTCGCTAATATTTGGGACCTAGAAATTTACACAAATGGGTCGCAACGCATACAATAATGTAATATGAATGTATGTTTTTACTGTAATTTCTAATCAGTTAGGTTCGGCGAAATACGCCAGTATTCTCAACCGAATTTCTATCTCTAGCGTCTGGTTATTCCAGTCTACGCCGATAGTATTTATTGGGCATGCTATCCAGATAAGAATATAGCGTCACCGTTTGACATACTTGTGGAATATGCCTAGCCTCGTTTTTCGGGTCCCTTAATACAAATAGCGCTGAAACGCATTATGGTACACGATTCGTGTACCAATTATAAAATGTTTATTTTGTCTTTAAATATTGGATATCAGAAGGCCATCTTTTCCCGTTAAGATCACAACATCAATGTTGATTTAAACCGATAAATAAATCGTGTTTTCAATGTTGAAGATTTTGAATGATATTGAGTTAGAGACTTAGCTACTTTAAGTTCATGTGCATTATAGGTCTAAAGTCTAAGTGTGACATAACATCATACAGCCTCAACTTGTGTTGTTTACATCAGACACAGTGACACAAACTGGTCTGTGCAGAATTGGTGGCTTTTACTGATTTTATCCCTCTCCATACTATTTTATTACTCATTTACACTAAATAGAAAATATTTTTTATCCAGATATACTTCCAACACATTTATATTTTTTCTTAATAATTTTAAAAATTGTTTTAGAATTTGATTTACAGAGGAAAAAAAGTTAATATTTAGAGCTAATTAACTCGCCCCGATGCCATCCCTTTCAGTGATAGTAATGGTCAAGCGAATATTTACTGCTGATCAGTTCAACACTCTGATGTAATTTTTTTTGCCAGTGCTTTGGAACATGTTAACATTGACTGAGACTAGAGTGATGCAACTTGATGTATAGTATCATTTCATCAATACCTTGACTAAGTTCGATAATAAGCATTTTAGCAGAGATAAAAATTTAATTGCTAGATTTTTATAAAAAGATAAATGTGCAAGTAATTAATGAGTTGCCATCCACTTATTTTGGGCTTAAGGTGGGGAACATTGGTCTTACCAAATTTAACCAGGCATAGGCATAATTATTAAATTTTGATAAATTTATTGTCAAGTAACAAATGTCATATTATAGATAACAATAACAGATACTGAATACAAATGGCTGTTTAAAATATATTGTTAGGTGACCATAATGTAGGAGTTCAACAGTTGTTTACAATGACTTGTAAATCAATAATATTTTACAGTCTGTTGTTCTACTAGTAACAAGTTAATCTATATCAACCATATGGTTTTCACACACAACTCTCATATAACAATCACCTGTATATTGTACCATGATTCCATCAACTATTTGTATACGCCCACATGGAAATGTGGACGTATATTGCTGTCACACCCGTCCGTCGTCCACAATTCCTTGTGAACGCTCTAATAAAAGTCATGATCTGATTGTTTTAAAATTGATATACATTGTTGATATTAGTGAGATGAAGAAGCCTATTTAATTTCAGTTATTTCCGTTTATTACGTCTAGAGTTATGGCCCTTGTTTTACTTTGTTGGGCATTGTGAATGCCCTAATGGCAAAAGTTATCATCTGATCTTTGTGAAATTTATATGCATTATTTAAATTAGTGAAACAAAGAAGCCTATTGAATTTCAGCAATTTACGTTTATTACGTCTAAGAGTTATGGCCCTTGTTTCACTTTATTGAACCTTTTGAACGCTCTAACACAAAAAGTTATCATCCAATCTTTGTGAAATTCATATGTATTATTTGAATTAGTGAAACGAAGAAGCCTTTTGAATTTTGGCAATTTCCTTTAATTGCTTCTAGAGTTATGGCCCTTGTTTCACTTTGTTGCACCTTGTGAACGCTCTAACATCTAAAGTTATCTGCAGATCTGTATGAAATTTATATGTGTCATTTAAATTAGTAATAAGAAGAATTCTAATGAATTTCAACAATTTCTGTTTCTTACTTCTAGAGTTATGGCCCTTGTTTTACTTTGCTGGACCTTGCGAACGCTCTGACATCAAAAGTTGTCTGCTGATCTGTATGAAATTTATATGCATCATTTAAATTAGTAAAAAGGAGAATCCTATTGAATTTCAGCAATTTCCATTTATTATGTCTAGAGTTATGGCCCTTGTTTCACTTTGTTGAACATTGTGAACGCTTTAACGGCAAAAGTTATCTGATCTGTATGAAATTTATGCATTATTTAGATTAGTGAAACCACAAAGCCTATTTAATTTCAGCAATTTACAATAATTACTTCTAGAGGTTATGGCCCTTGTTTCACTTTGTTCAACCTTGTTAATGCTCGATTGATGAAAGTTATCATCCGATATGTATGAAATTTATATGCATCATTTAAATTGTGAAACAGAGGTCTATTGAATTTCAGCAATTTCTGTCAATAATTTCTAGAGTTATGGCGATTGTGAACCTTGTGAACATTTGAATGACAAAAGTGATCATCTGATCTGTATGAAATTTATATGCATTAGTTAAATTAGTAAAACGAAAAAGCCTGTCAAATTTCAACAATTTGTGAACGCTCATACGACAAAAATTATTATCTGATCTGTATGGAACTGTCTTGTAAAGGCCCCCAATTACCTACAAAGGAATAAATATGCGACAACCCTTGTCGACCGCTCAGACGATTTAGCTGCTTTGGGCGTATGTCTTGCTACCTATCTTTAATACCTTAAATCAATGTCCAAAGTTTTAGGGAAGATCCCAGATTAAACGAAGGGCTGTCACTTTGCTGTACTTAGGAGTGATTTGATTGAACGGGAAGAATAGATACACTGCCTCTAAAGCTCAAGTATTATAAGTCAATCCAACAATGGCCAGAAAGAGAGATTTCTCGGGCCATTGCTTCAGGAATATGATGGTTTCTTAATGTCACTGTTGTCATTTGTTGCAACGCGCAATGTTGTGTTGTGAAATTTAAATTTCCTAAAAGAGAGAGAGAGAAATGGGGTTTAACGTCCACTCGACACAAACTAGGTCATTTCGGGACTAACATATGGTTTAATTTTATTGTCCCCCGCCTTTCGAAGAAAGCAGGGGACTATTAAAATGGGTTCGTCCGTCTGTCTGTCCGTCTGTCTGTCCGTCACACTTTTTGGGACACAATAACTCTCTTCCTAATTGAGCTAGAATGTTCAAACTTGGTGTATGTGTTTATTAGGTCAATGCCTTGATGGAGTTCGAAGATGAGCATTTTCCGCTTAGGGTAAGCAGAGATAAGCAATTTGATTGGTTGATGCTTTGGGACACGATAACTCTCTTCCTAATTGGGCTAGAATGTTCAAACTTGGTGTATGTGTTGATTAGGTCAATGCCTTGATGGAGTTCGAAGATGAGCATTTTCCGCTTAGGGTAAGCAGAGATAAGCAATTTGATTGGTTGATGCTTTGGGACACGATAACTTTTAATTGAGCTAGAATGTTCAAACTTGGTGTATGTGTTTATTAGGTCAATGCCTTGATGGAGTTCGAAGATGAGCATTTTCCGCTTAGGGTAAGCAGAGATAAGCAATTTGATTGGTTGATACTTTGGGGCACGATAACTCTCTTCCTAATTGAGCTAGAATGTTCAAACTTGGTGTATGTGTTGATTAGGTCAATGCCTTGATGGAGTTCGAAGATGAGCATTTTCCGCTTAGGGTAAGCAGAGATAAGCAATTTGATTGGTTGATGCTTTGGGACACGATAACTTTAGTTCTAATTAAGTGAGATTGATGAAACTTGGTGTATAGTTTCATTACAGTAATACCTTGACTAAGTTTGATAATGAGCATTTTCTGCTCAGGGTAAGCAGAGCGATACGCAATTTGATTGGTCGAGACTTTGGAAAGCAATAACTCTCCTACTTTGATTGTTAGACTATAAGTAAAGATATACTGTTTGATTGTTCAATACTTTGTAAAAGATAATTTGTGATAAATTTATATGTGTCCTCTAATTATTTTCCTATTTCGGTGGGGGACATCAGCCTCACTGTTGGCTTGTTTCAATAATTGGTTGGACAGGCAACCCTACCCCTTGTCACGTACAACCGGGGATTCGAAACCACGCCAGTCGACTCAATGACAGACTTTATGATACAGCGCGCGCACACTAACCATTCAGCCATCCAACCCCCCTCCTAAAAGAAAATCAGTCAAAATATGGTA